GCTAAGTGCCCTATGTGCTCTTTATGGGAGTCGAGAGGGAAGTTACTTCAGGCTTGTTCTAGTCTGTTCCCCAAGACTGACTGCCAGTTTGTGTCAAGATTGTTGTCAATGTGTTCCTGGAATGTATTATCTGGTGTAGTTTCATCCAAAAAGGACCTAGTTCTTTGCTCTAAAACCAGTCCATGCTGCACACCAGAAAGAGGGAAGTAGAGCCAGCCAGGGGATTCAGCAGTGTCGTAAGCAAACCAGTGTCATTAGGCACAGACAGCTGTGGATCTTCAATTCATTTGCTCTTAGCCTGAATTCTCAAATAATTACTGTACTTTTATTGGAATTATTTTCAAAAAAGCTGACAATAGGACAGAAGTTTGTACCAAAAGAAAGAGACCAGTGTTTCTGCTTTGAAAACTTTCATTTTCAGATTCTCAACAATAAATTCTTCTTTAATTCTATTAGGTTTCTTTTCTTCTCCCAAAATGTATCATCATATTAGTTTAGTCTTTAGTGTGAAGAAACCAGAGGTATTTGTTTATATTTTCCAAAGGCCAGTGTCCTAACTCATTGAGCTCTGTACATTACTTCTTCAAAAGGAATTGGTAATTATATACTGTGCCTTCAAACTGGGACCAGTCTCTTGTCATTGGTGAAGGCTCGGGTATATATCAATTTTCTGTATTGGAAACCCTGATTCAGATGCCCAGAATGGGAAATCTCGAAAAGAGTTTTCTCACTCATGTTCTATTGCCCTTAGTATGCCCTTAGGTTACTTCTTCTTCACAACCAGGAAAACTTCCTTTCTCCTTCTCTTTTGTCCAAGGTAGTTCACTCCTTATGTTATCAAGAGATGCCAGAAGCTGGAGCTGGGATTTAAAAAACTCCTGAAGCCTCATGATAGTATCTCAAGAGATAGCATTTTTATAGGCTGAGCAACAAGAAATTTAGTACTAGTACACTTGACTGCTCATATGACTCTACAGTACTTTATATATATTTGCTTCTGCCATTTTTTAGCACAGTTGTTATACTGCTTCAAAGTCTGCCTTTTAAAAACTCCTCACCTCTGTCTGAAAACACTTTCCTTCCCTTTTTCATTTGTTTCATCCATGCGTCCATGTTGCAGATTTTTCTGTTTGGTTTCTAGAGCTTATCTAACGTTACCCTGTGAGCAATTTGAAGATTTCAATCACTTATTTTCTGAAAGGTCATTTTCTTTTTTATTGAGTGCTAGCTGAGATTTTTTCCCCCCTGCTATTCTGTATTAATTAATCCTCTTATATCCTTTATCAAAGTTACTGTGTTTTCCAAGACATTTCTTCTATTACTTTGATGTGCTCCACATTGGACAGATGCCTAGATGTGAGTCTCACAGGTCCCTCTCAATGCTGAAACACTGTTTCCTGACTTCTGTTGAATGGCTGGTTTTATGAAATATTTTAAAACTTTTTTGCCTTTCTTTTCTTGCCCATGGGTTTACCTCTCTCTGTTTTGTCACCCCAGTTTACAGCTGGTGTAGTTTCACTGAATCAGCATATAGTAAAATGAAATTACTACTACAGAATAGGGGACCAGGCCACACATTTCTATTTTTCAGAGTTTTGGGATGGCTTTTTCTTCCTGCAGTGAAGGAGGTCTCCATTGCAGATGGGCCTGCAGTGAGGGCCTTAGAATAGGTTGGATACTCAAAAGAAATGAAAGCACTGTCTCAGAGGCTGAACACATTATCTAGGATTATTTCACTTTACTCTCTACACAACAAACTGTGTTTTGTGAACAATATACAGAAACTGCAAATGGAAAAATAGTCACATATGGTGAGTCTTTTTGTCTCAGCAGTATATTCAATGGGTAGGTTTGTTCTCCAGATTTGGTTGTATTGTCCCATCAAACAATTGGTGTACCTTGTTTTATCTGTTACAGAGTGGCACCGTCACTCTTTTTCTCTGCTTTAAGCAATCTTTAGCTCAGGAGCCATTAGCACTAGCACCTTTTGTAGCTGCTCTGCAATCTAAAGGAACTGCTTGATAAAACTTGAACAATTTGAATCCTCTCAGGCTGGTCTGTGCCTACGTTTCCATTTGCACAGAAAAGGCTTAATGTCCACAATCTATTTAGTGCATGCTTACTTGAATATGCAGGTGTTTCACCATAGTGGCCATGTTCACCATGTTCTAATTAGGCATGTGTGTATTGGAAAATATTTTCCTTTCTTCATTTTTGTGTGATTCCCATGAAATGCATTGTAACACATACTCAAGTTAAGGGGTATAAACCTTACTTTTATTATCCTAATATAATAGCCTGTATTGTAGTAGCCTATATTTGTAGAAAAATTTAGAGCACAAACTGGCATTTTTTTGTAAGAAGGTTCCTGTATAAATAATGCAGATTGTGTAGCTTAAATAAATGTCAGACCTAACATTTTACAGATGGTGAGGGATGTATAGACACAAGAAACTATGGAAAATATTTGCCAGTTTTTTACATTTCAAGATGTGCATGCTGTCTACGTCAGACTGATTTATTTAGGCTGGTAGCAAAGGAAAGCTCTATTTAATGATTAGATCGTTATCGTCTCTCTGGTTACCACAGAGATGCACAGTGCTACAAAATGCAGTATAATTTATTTATCTGTTAATATCTTTGTGTTGTGTTGTAATTACCTCTTGTTCTCTTCTCCTTCCATGAAAAGACTTGTTGGTATTTTGTTTTTGTAAACATTTATTGTTAAACGGTTTCTTTAGAAAACCCCATTGAATATGCTTTAAAATTGTGCTTATAGTTACTTAATGTTTTTATTTTTGATCATGGAAATTACTTGTAGTTGTAAGTAATACTAGTCTTTCTATGTAAACAGTCATAACATAAACACTCTATATCCTTTCCTTTCCTCCCACAGATAGTTTGCATTTTCAAAACTAAGAAAGTAAGATTGTAAAAAATGTGGAGGAGATTTCAAATCAATATGTCCCTTTTTTTACTACCTGCAGTGTCTTGCTTTGTGGGAAGTGCAGCCCTGTTATTAAAATTTCTGGTCACAGATTATTATAATTTTAAGCTTTTTTTTTTTGGAAATGTAACCTCTGTCCTTTCTCACTCCTAAATATTTTCCCCCTTCATTATCAGCATGGCTCTTTGCTTTCCTGCACGTTTTCTGTCATAGTTTGCTGCCACCCCTTATCCTCTGCCCTTTGGCCAGTTATGATTATATTAACAGTTATGATATAAAATGTAATTTGGATAGATAGCTCAATTATGCTAATTATCAGGTTAATTTATCTTTGCTACTTGCTATTCATATCTAGAATTTTTTTTATCATGATATTTTAATGTTAAAAACCTTGAAACTAGTTTTTACAAGGTTCTTCAAATTTTTGAAGATATGTGTGTATTATTGAGATAATTTATATTTCACAAGCAGTCTTGGCACATTAATGCATGGATGTGAGAGCTGCAATGAGTGCTTGGAATTACCAAAAATAATAAAATTGGTCAAAGAACACCACTTTTATTTAGAGTTATAGTTGTAATAGTGATAAAGTGTTGGAGACACAGTGTTTTCAGATAATTTTACACCGATTAAAGGAAATACACTCATTTGATTAAGCATAGAGCCTATCCATAACATTTCTCCTAACTTTTAATACTTGTGATGCTTTTTTTCTCCCTCAAGTATTTGCAGTTTTATTTTACTACTTGTTTAGTTTCTTATCTGGGAATCAGAGTAGCTGTTTTTCAGTGATGGTGGACAACATGATGTTTGAGTTTTATAAGGTGACTTGGGTGACAATGAAAAAAAACTATGGAAATCTAAGATTCTAGTAGCTATCTGATGGTTTAAGGGTAACAGCATTTTAACTAGTTTTTGTACAGAATAGTACAGTTTCAATACTCTACATTGTACCTTTAGATTATATATATATGTATATATATATATAAAATCTATGCATATATATTCTGTTTTATATATCATGTTATATACTGTTTTGTTATATTCTGTTTTCATCTTCGTTCGTTCTTAAAAGGAAATAATTGTGGTTTTTTAGGACTTCTATTACCTTTCTTCACTCCCAAGAACTGTTAAAATTACACACAAATGAAACAGTAATTTTCCCTGTGATCTGCTACATAGCAGGAGAAATGGCCAGCTGTGATTAGAATAGAAACACTGCATGGAAAAATTGCCATTAAAATGTAAACAGGATTTTTTTTTAAGTCACAGAGAGAAAAACTGAAATGAAACATAATAATATATGATCACTGCAAAGAATTTTTTAAAAATAAATTTGCACATCTGGATAGTTATAAAAATAATATTAGTGGGGCATAGAACATCTTAGTACAGTAATTCTGAATTATATTGCAGAATTCTTTGAAGGTGTATATATTTTTTGTGTGTAGGACTTAGGTCTAGACTATAAGGAAAGGCATTAGAAAGTTGTAAATATATTTTAACTGAGAGCTGTTTTTGGAAGTCCTATCATTCACTAGTGACAGATGTAGAAACCTTCAAAAGGAAGGCTCATTTTTTATAGGTGTGGGAGCTATTCATTCCTTGCCCACCTTTGTACATGTGGTGAAAATCTAAAACCCTTTAGATTTGTGATTGTTGTTCCTCTTTTAGGAGGAAACAAAGGTCAACAACTCAGATAATTGTTTTGCATAAATCTGGAGGTTGAAAATGCTTTGGTATCAGTGAAAAGTAGCTTTTATTTCAGATGATGACTTGATATAGTTTGGTGGTCTCCAGATGAATTGCAAAGAAAGACTTTGTGAACTAGCAATGGATAGCAGTGCTCAGAATAATGTGGTTTTCTTAAGCTTTGTGTTTTCATATTTTTGTGAAGAGAATAAAAATATTTGAACTTAGAAGTGACAAATTCATGGATGGCTGATGCTATTTGCAAACTCAAAAATCAGAGTTTTCTGGCAAAATTTTGATGAGGACACTTTAGAATCTTGTGCAAGCTGAAAGGATAATCTCAGTTTTTTTCTTCTTGTAGTGTTGGTGTATGAGGTCCATGTATACACAGGGGCTAAACTTGGTGCTGAAACAGATTCCAATGTTTATATCAACATCATTGGGACAAGAGGAGATGCCGGCAAAAGGAAACTCCATAGATCTAAGAATAATAATGTTAAGTTTCGACATGGACAGGTAAAGTCAAATGCTGCTTCTGATAAATAAAAGTAAATTATGGCTAGAAAATTCTTTCATCAAGAAATGTAAAAATCTTTTATTTTCAAGGTTTATTCAAGCATTGACCATTTCCCTTATTCAAAATTCCTTACATAATTGCATCATAGGGTTAATTTTTATCTGCTTGATCAACCATTTACTGAGAGCTTTAGATATTAGAATTTGAGTATTTCAGTTATTTGTATTGCACATGTAAATAAAAAGGTAACAATATCATATTTGTTGTCCTGAACAGATCACTTTAGATTTTAGAATCAGGTTCTAAATCTGTATTCCTAAGTATGTTTTCCAAACTTGGTGAGGCACATAGAACTAGGAAGTATAACGTAGACACAACCAAGTAATTGAAACTGATCATTTTGCCATGCCAAAGGTATCAGTGATGTCTTTGGGGAAACATTTTCAGGTGTTATTTACCTTAGAAAATTTTAAAGGATCCTCCCTGACTGGCCAGGATGAATATAAAACAACTATATTCATTTTGAAAACCATCAATCAATCAAACAAACAAAAAATTTAAAAAAAAAGCTTTTCTATAATGTTAGAGTCAAAGCAATAGCTATGTTTAAGACCTTCATAATTTTCCTTGTTTGGTTCCACAGATGGATATTTTCTGCATAAAGGCTGTCTCACTGGGAGACTTGGAGAAAGTTCTGATTAGCCATGATGGAGCTGGTCCAGGTAGGATTTAATTTCCTAGAGACCAGTCTGTTTTCAAGTCCTTTTTAAACCAAATGCCCTTGTTTATGCTGCATCCTTCATAGAAAATGTGACAGAAGGTCTTGCAGTGATAAAAAGTCTTCCTGCCGGTTGGTCACTGTGATGGGATGATGAAAAACTGTGGTAATGGACAGAAAAATGGTCATGAGTTTAATGTCATGTAGTGTTATTCTACTGTCTGTTTTCACAGTTATTTATAAAAAAGAACTATTTATTTGCATGTAGAAAACTCTCAAAATTGTGGCTCACACTGGTAATACAATCTTTCACTAGACAAACAGTGAAAACTATCCAGGAAGGAATTAAAGGTAAAGCAGCTGACAGCTGAATACCTGACAAAATTTGAGTAACTATAACACAATGTCCTCACTGCTTTGGGCAATTGTAGAAGATTTGAATATACATTTAATCTGTGAAAGTCAATGGGGAGCTGCTCCAGTGAGTGACACTGCATTCAGCTTGTAGGTTTTTAGGGAAAGAAGAAAGAATTTGTTAATGAGATGAATTTTGGGTACAGGCCCTCGAAGAAATGTGCATCTCCCTGGAATGATGTAAGTGCAGAGAAAGCATTTAAAAGCACCAAAGATGTAAATATGCAAATATGCATTCAGATTAATATCTAGGAAGAGGCTAAGTGGAGAGAGGGATTTTAGGCAGTTCATGGCTTCACTGATAACAGATTAGAAAAGCCCTTTTACCCTACTCTGTTCAGAAGTTGCCCCAAGCAACGCCCATCTTGCTGTCTGTACTGCCTAAGGCTCTGAGGAGGCTTGTGACTATTACGGAAGTAGCCATGGCAGTGCAGCCTTGGAATGGTGTGTAATCTTGTTTCCTGTAGTTCCATAGAGTTTGCTGTCTTCAGCAACATGGATGATTGTACACCTGAAACTTTCACATTGTAGAAACCCAAGATATAACACAAAAGGCACTATGGTGGGGCCCACCTTCCCTCCATTTCCCAGAGAACTGTGCCATGCTCTCTTCCCTGATATCTCCTTTAACAGACAGCACAGATTAGCAGGGTCAGCATTACAAATCTGTAACCCAGTTCAGCTATCTCAAGATGTTTTTTACATTGGAGTTCAAATGTGTGGGTTTGAAGGACTGTCTAAACAGGACAATGGATTGAATTCTATCTGTAACAAAATGTGTGCCTTGGTAATTCAGGAGGCTGTTCATTGTACTCAGCACAGACAGATCTCACAGACACATTTTGAACTGTATCCAAGACTAGCCCCACATAAACCTAGCCTGGAGTGGCTGAGGGGTTGAGAGCGGGAAAAAAGATGGTGGCTCAGAGATACTCAACCTTTTGAGAAGGAGGATCCCTTCAGAGGAGGAGTACCCCTTTTTCTCATCACTTGCCTGAGTGACAGGGCAGGAGGGTCTTAATTCTTGATTTGGAGTCTGTCTTGAAGGGATCCTAGAACATGTGTTTTCTTTGGGGCTCCCAGGCTGCAGGGCATGGATGTACTCCCACAGCTCCTGTGAATGAGGAAAGTGAAGGACTTTTGTCCTAGAGAGCAGGGTTTGCTCCATGCACTAACTGGGGATGCCCTTTCTATGCGACAGAAACTGCTGCCTTCCAGACTCAGATGCAGCCAGGAAGCAAAGCACAAGGATGAATAGGATGGTTGTTTCTGACCAAAACATCCTGCATGCTGTTTGCTGCAATGTGCTGCTGGGTAATGGTGTGAATCAGGTGAAACCTCATACGCAATAGGACAAGTTGTTGTCGAAACCCAGGACATCCCTCTGGCTGTCCTGAGCAGCCAAGACCTGTGCCAGGGGGCTCACAGACCCTGGCACAGAGCACAGAATGCCTGTGGTTTTGATTATGACCCATGGAGCAAGATGCCAATTTTAGATGAAGATCTGCAAGCCCCAACAGTTAAGTAGAATGATAGTGAATTTATCATGGGGTGAAAAAGTAGATTTTGGGGTTTTTTAGAATGGGGATTCAGGGGGCAAGATGGAGGGATCTGGGTGTTTCCAGCCTTTCTCTTTCTTCTTCTTGGCCTCTGTCTTCTGCTGTGATGTTGACACTTTTAGATTGGTTTAGAGTAGAAGCTCACTGTCTAACATAGATGATAGGCATTGGAAAGTAATTGTAAACACTGTATGCGTAATTTTTAGTATAAAGACATAACACCACCCTGGGGGCAGGCAGAGTGCCTGGACTGTCTTGCTGAGCGGACCTCAGCTGGACAGGAGAAAATATTTTATAGATAGAGAACAATAAAAAACCTTGAGACTGAGCAATGAAGAATTCTGACTCCTCCTTCAACTGCCGGGCTGGGAAAAGAGACTTTCTAATGTATCTTGGGGTCACTCTGACCAGTTAGAGGCCCCGAGACAAGTTGTGAGTGGTGCAGGTACAGTGAGAACAGGTTATTTGAGAAGGACATCACAAGACAACCAGACCAGTCACTAGGATGGTCATTGGAAGAGATCTAAAAATCAGCATGGATGTGCCAGTGGTTACTGCAGTTAGGGAAAAGATTAATTCAGTAGCCCAGCAGAAGTGAGAGTGCAGAGCTCCACACCTGCTGTTCTCATAGCAGCAAGGCTGAGTGTGTGCTCCCCACTGACATGCACACAAACACATTTCCAAAACACAAATGTGTGCACATAGCTGGCCATGCAGACCAATGCTGGCAGGAACTCAGCAAGCACACAAACAGTACAAGCAGCCTTCACCTGTTACCTTCTCCAGTTGGGCAGAACAACAGTCCATCAGTGTCAAGCACAAAAAAATGTGTACAGGATGGATGTATACGGCCTCCACTAGCTGGCCTTAGGCAGTCAGTCTTTCTGGTTGCTCGCTCTGAATCCTTGGATCCTCAGTTTTGCCAGTTACTGGCACCAAGACATTAAAACCCCCTCCAAGGCTGCAGCCCCACAGCATAAGTTTTAAAGATTTGTTAATTAATATTTTTATATCTACAATAAGAAGTTCACTCACAGTGGGAAAAAATTTCCAGCTTTCACACAAATCTTGATTATGGGCATAAACAGATTTGTACCAACATTCTTGTGCTTGATTACTGGGAATAATCAAAAGATGTAGGCAGGGATGTAAATGGTGTTGACAGTTCAGAGATGTATGCATGTATTTGTCTCCAAGAGAAAAAACCCACCCCTCTTAAAATTAAAACAGGCAAAGGCAGAAAAGAATTGCATCTCTTAGGAGACACAAAAAATAATAAAGCTTTTGTTCTGTTAATATATCTTATTTATTTAGATGAGATCTGTCTAAATATGATCTGTGTTTCTGCTAGAAAAAGATAATCTGGGCTTTTTTCTTAAAATTTATTTTAAAAATAGTATGATTTCACATTATAAACTTTTGTCATTTCGACACAGGCAGTGGATGGTTCCTGGATAAGATTGTCATCAAACATAAAGAAGGAGAGGAAGCTCATGAGGTTGTATTTCCTTGTAATAGGTATGTCATTCATGGAGAAAAAGAATTTGTTACCTGCCAGCAACGTAATGAAAAAATTTTAGAGCAGATATGTGCACACAAACTAGGTGTTTGAGCAATGCCCCGGAGTTTTTCAACATACAAGTGATGCAACATTTTGCAGCTGAAGACAAGGAAAAAGTTCCTATATTGGCATGGAAGAGAGTAATAGCCTAATGCAGAGAAGTCCCAAACCAAATGTTGCATAAGAGGAAAGGTGCATTGATCTTTTTTTTTTTAAATCTAAATTATATAGAAACCATGTGAAATTAAATAAGACTTCAGTTCTCAACCTTTTAAGAAATATTGTGTGTAAAGATCTGAAATGGCGTAGTTGTCATCATGGAAACATGGCGGAATGACTTGCACAGCTGCAGTGCTGCCATGGATGACTATAAACCCTTCAGCAGCGAGAGACAAGGAAGGAGAGGAGGTGAGGTAGCCCTGTATGTTAGGGAGTATTTTGATTTTCTAGAGCTTGGTGATAGAGTTGGGCATTTATGGGTAAGAATCAGGGGAAGGCCAGCAAGGCCAGTGTCATGGCAGAAGGGTCTGGGTCTGTTACAGTCAGGAGAAAAAGACAGACAAAATTTAATGTGAACAGCTGGAAGAAGTCTCACTATCACCAGCTGTTATTCTCGTGAGGGACTACAAATACAATGCAGCAGAGGAGAAGGAGTTTAGCAGGTTCCTGAAGCCCATGGAGGAGAACCTCCTGACACAGTTGGTGAGGTAGCCAAGTAGAGAAAATACCCACTGGATGAAGGGAAGATTGAGACACTTCATGCCTTCTTCCCCTCAGTCTTCAAGAGTGATACCAGTTCTCCTTGTAGCCAGCCCCCTGAGTTAGAAGGAAGGAGTGGGAAGCAGAACGAGCCCCACAATCCAAGTGAAAAGAGTCAGTGGCCTGCTGCAGCACCCAGACACAGACAATTCTACTGGGCTGGAAAGGATCCACACAAGGGTGCTGAGGGAGATGCACTGGGTCACAACAGCCCCATGCAGTGCAACAGACATGGGGATGAGGGGCTGGAAAGCTGTCTGGTGGAAAAGGATCTGGAAGAGCTGGTCAACAGCCAGCTGAACACGAGCCAGAGTGTGCCCAGGTGGCCAAGATGGCCAGTGACAACCTGGCTTGGATCAGCAATAATGTACACCAAGGCCGTGATTGCCCGTGCACTCAGCACTGGTGAGGCTGCAGCTTGAATCCTGTGTCCAGTTTTTGTCCAAAAATTGCTTTCTACTTTTAGAAACTGCTAGTGATCTTCTGTTTCTTAGGATGGAATGAGGAGATATGTCTCAAAATTTAATCAAGCTGTTTATTGCAAAAAAGTTGAAATGCAGTGGAGTTTAGACTTCATGCATAAGAGATTTATTCATAGAGTTTTGTCCCATACAAGAAATGAAATATGTTATGGATCTTGGGTTTAAACAAATACAACATCAACATGGAGTCAATAGAATAGAAGCTGACAGTGAGCATGTATTTATTTTTAAATAAGTGAGGTTGTTGAAGATTGGGGAATATTATGTGAACAAGGGGGTTCAGCTGAAAGGAGTATGAATGTATGTTTGCAGTGAAATGTTATTGCAGAAAAGCTCCTTAAATTCATCAGTATAAAAGAAAAGTAAAACAAGAACAGAAGCTCAGTTTGTTGCTGCAGACAGGCAAAAGTTTTAAAAACTTCCAGACCTGAAGATTTTATATATAATTCTAAGTACAATAACTATAACTAACCACCGCAGGTTTTATAACTCTCTCACATGTACAGCTGAGTCTCTGAACCAATAAATAATTAGTATTTCACCCAATGTACTCCATATTGTACTACTCACCTCATACAGCTACCATGAAAATTCTTCTTTGCCTGGAGCAAATTGAACCAAATTCTTCTTATATGAATAAGGCCAACTGTGCTGAAAGTATAAAAGAAAATTTGATCCTGGAAGTAGTTTCAAGGTGTAGCTTGATCAAAGGTGTATAAAAAATACTATTGGAGACAAAAGGTAATGGTCAGATGATATATACTGTACTAATACTAATAGTTTTTCTTAATCTTATTATTTTTGTTTTTGCAATGAAAGATGGTTAGATGAACATCAAGATGATGGGAAAACAGAGAGGGAGCTAACTGCCAATAGTAAGTATTTTGTTACAGAAAATTTGTTATAGCACTACGGTATATACTTAATGCCTTGTTATTACTAAAGAACTTTTCCAGATAAGACCATAGCTGAAGATAAACGTGATAATAAAGCTAGCTTACAATTATTTTTCCTGCTCATATTTTAGAGAGTGGCAGTTCAGTGAAGACATTTCTTAAAGGTAAGAGTTGTTTTCCAACCATTATTTTCTATACCATAGTTTTTGCTGTTTGAATTTAAATCAGTATTGCAGGAAATACGTGAGCAAATTACCTCATTTGTATGGGTTTTCTTGTATATCAGCTGTGAAAGAACATGATAAATTGGCTGGCAGTACTCTACAGGAAGGACTAGACCTTCATAAGCAATTGAGAAAACACAGAAACCATTTCTGGTTTTCTTCCTACTTCTACTATTCTGCTCTGAAATCAACCAGGAATTCCTCTGAGAAGATATTCAAGTGTTCTTTTGTTTACCCCAATGTCACTGTCATTTAATACTTGGGGACAGGTCCCCTAACAAACATCAGCAAATTGAAAAATGTGTTGTGAAGTGTCAGTGGAAACATTTTCAGGTCAAAATTCCAAAGTAGCCAGAAATAATGCAAGCTTAAACTCCAAATGCTCCAGTGAAGCTAAATGTATTATGTGCATTCAGTTGCCTAAATCTGCTTAATTAAGGAAAAGACATCGATAAAACACTCCCCACCCAGCTTTCTGTTTCTATATCTACAAAGACATTCTCATCCCTGTAATGCACTAGTTACCATCTCTGTGTTTCTTCCTAACCAGAAAAGAGAAACAGACTGTCACACTTATTTTTAATGAACATTTAACTGTAAATGGTTATTCTGTGCAACTCTCTCTGGGAATTTCATGGGAACAACTAAACTAAAAAAAGTAATGTTTCCATTTGTCTCTGAAAACAGTGACTTGCTTTCTGTAGGATGAGTCCTAGTCTCCCAATCTAGTTCCAGTTTCAAAATGGAATCATTTGCATTCAATCAAACAGTTTAGCCAACAGCTTTATTATTCCACAAAAGCATGAATTTGACAAAAGGAGAGTGATGAACTCCGGTAACTAAAGACTTTCTTTTTCACAGAGAAAGTTGATTTTCACGTGTGACTTGGAATTGGATTCTGCAATCTGCTAAGTGCGCAGTTCTGGGAAACAACCATAATATCTGTTACACCTTATGTTCAGAAAATAAACTATATTTTACTACCAGTTCAAAATTTTTCCCAGCACAGTTTCATTCTTCATTATGTTATAGTAAGCAGGCACAAATGCACAGGCTGCTCGCTGCCTGTGAGCATCAAGAGTGATCAGACTCAATATATTGTTAATGAGGAGAAAGGAGTGGTTTATTCTTAACCAGCTTTTGAAATGTCACTCTGCCAAGATGTCCAGGAGGACCCAGAGACTATTGAGATCAGAGCTTCTGAAAAAAGAGGTTACAAAAGAGAAGAACATTTTTAGGAAGTTATCTGTCAGGTAGCTGTATGAGAGCTTAGCTTGAGCTGCTCTTCAGCCATCTTTGTTTTGCCCATGGGCTCGCTCCAGTGAGCAACTGAGATAGCTTAGAGATTGGACTTTTATGCCTTATGAGAAAAAGATGATGGTTGTGACTGATTTTTCACAGTTTGTGTTGTCATATCAGTGATCTCAGACGTTCCATGATTGAGCTTTGCAGGAGGGAACCATCACAAGAGGTTTGGAAAGATATCCTGAAGTGAGTTCTGTGTCACTCTATCATGACTCAGTGCCAATGTCAGAGCTGGTAAGGGAACATTCCAGAGATGTAGAGTCCTGGGAGAAAAAATTATTCCCTTAGATTCTCCCATCACCTGCTTATCAGTATTCTACATGGTAGAATAGTGATAAACAGTCCCCTTCAGAGTGGGGGTGAACACTTTCCATGTAACAGATATTTACTGAATAAGAGGCAAGTGGAAGGTCTAATGTTAGGGAGCCAATATTTTAAGCACTAATGTGGCCATATTCTGTATGAGCTGCACTCTGCAAATGGGCTTCAGGGAAAGTCATAAAAATCTGATCGGCATAATTCAGTGTTTCCTGATTTTCAGGGTAAGATCAATGTGCTTAGGTCAAGTTTAAAGCACCAGATACAGAACAAATTGCTTTATAAGTCACTCTGAAGGTCAGAAATCTCATTCACTTTGGATGAGGCTAGTAACCTGTTCAACCACCAGGCCAAAGAGGAAACTTTGGAAGTCATCATTGCTAGCAGGTTACTTGAGGGCTCTCTGTCCTTTTTCAGCCAGGCTGGCATTATGCCAGTTCTAATGAAGCATAAATCCCAGATCCCTGTGACTGCGGCTGCTGGCTGTGGATTCTGCCAAAATGCAGTCTGCCCATATCAAGTTTTCTCAGTAGCCTTTGTCCATTTATACAATACAGAGAGGCTCTGGCAAATCAGGCATAGGAATAGATTTATTTGTATGCCTCTGATTCCTCCTTGTATATTTGAGGCAAGATAAATAGAGAAAGGGTTTTTTCCTAGTGGAGAAAGCAGATAGATGCTCTCAGCTCTCAAATGAAGTTGATTTGAGGGATTTGAAGTTGATTTGAATGGGACTTTCTGTTACTCTCTAAAAGTTTCCTACATGGTAGGGGTATTTTACTACTTTTTCCTTCTGTTTTCTCTATTTATTTTCCTTCTGTGCCTCAAAATAGATGACCTATTGCAATGGCACATAGGAAAGAATTTTCTCTCAAAGCAAGGAGACAAGACACAGTATGTTCCAATGAAATCCTCTCTGCAGTCAGCTAAAAGGAGCTGGCTTCCTGTAATGTGATGCCTGTAGGGTGTCCTGAGGTTTTGTGGGTTATTGTGGGTGGTAAATAAAGTGTCGTTCAGTAGCAAAGTTCAGTTAATAGATATTTCTCAGCTGGCTCTTCTTCTGTTGTGCAAGGTTTTTTGTATTGAGGCATATAGAAAATTCATATCAAAAGAGAAAATTTGACTACTATGACTAATTTTGTTTTGGAATTATTCCCTTTCTTGCAACTACTTGATAATGGACTAAGAATAATCACAGGATTCCCAAAGTTAAAAGGGAATGGACCCAATTCTAAAAAGCAGCAACAGCATGTTTCCATTGCCAGATGGAGGCAGAAATCCCTAAGAAAAGGAATTAAGCAGACTGACTGCTCTGCCTCAAGGAAACACAAAGTTCTACAATCTTCAGGAAATAAGCAACCAACTCCTATGTCTTGCAAAGTGTGAATATCATTCTAGGTCTTAAGACCAAAAAACACCAGAGTAAAAAAACCCCTGAAACAATGTATTGTAAAAGCAGTTTTGGAAATCCTTAAAAAATACATAAATGGCTCATATTTTTCAAAACTCAGAAAATAAACCTTCCTTTTTCAGCTTTCTGAATTATATGATGAAATATTGACTTCAGGTTTTGCCATGCTCAGATTTCTTTGTACAGAAATTGTTGTGGGTTTGATTTTCGTGGTTTTACTGAAGGAAGTTTCAGGTTCCAGACTGGTGGTTAAAGGAATTCATGGCAGGAAATTGTTATACTCATCCAATTTAATTTCTAAAAGTCAAAAAATGATCCCTAATTCTAAGATATCTCTGCATAAATCTCTGTAATGTGAATCAGATTCTTGGTTATATCATTATAGTAAAGAGAGAATTCTGAGACACTTTTTCCCACAGAATTCTGGTTTTTTTCCCTTGCTATTCATTTTAGTGCTTCCTACATTGGTGTCTCAAAGTAAATGGCTCTAGCTTCACACGTAAGCTGTAGAACTACAATAACACATGAACACACTAATCACTCTGAAAGGAAGTTAACACAGGTCAGTGATGTCAGGAGAAAAGTCTTTTTTAATGTGGTCACACAGATGAAACACAGAAAAATGACCTATTGAAGCCCAGCTATCTCACTTCTACACCTTCACTCCTGGAGGGATATAGAAGTCACTGAGCACAGTAAATACTTGGCATCACTCTTCTGTCTCATGTAGCAATCCTCACCAAGTAGATGTCTGAGTGAATAGAATATTAGAAAAAGGATTTTTTGATTCTTCTGGCATGAGCAGGTTAAATGAATTTGTTGAATTGAGAGAAAATGGAGTCAGTCTGTGTTAGTTCATTTAATAAACTGTAGAAGCATTAAAAGTAAGTGTAGGAGAATAAAGAATCACAGACACTAAGAGGCCTTAAATCTGTAACCATTGATTTATTCCCTGGAAAACTCCCAACTGGTGTCTTAGCCTTCCTACAGAAATAATAATTAAAAACACAATCATGGATATTAATTAAAATAAATCACCTTGCCTGAAATGCCTTCTCTGAACATGCTGCCTCTTTGAGGAGGGAACAGGCAGTTATGTATTTCTTATTTCTCTTAACTTAAGGCTTGCTCTCTCCTGGAGCAGAGGGATATTACAAAGAGAAAAAAACCACAACTCCACTTGGGAAATACAGAACTGCAAAATTATCTTAATTTCCTCTCTGCTGTGTTCCTGGGACAGCCTTCAAAATGGAGTATGCTTGGACAGGATAAGAGATTCAGGGCTATGCTGGGAGTCTTTGTAAAAATTTGAAGCTCCTCATAAACCTTTGGGGTGCTCAGGAACAGCAAAAGCTCAAACAATGCTTGACTTCACCAAGTGTGACACCCTGATGAGTACCACATGCCAACCTGGCACAAGGAGATAAAATTCAAAGCTGGCACATAAATCAAACGGCAAAAGTTCCTCATTAGGCAAAGTGTGGATTTTCCACACACTACATCTGACTCATTGCTGGAAATGACCTTAAAATAAGAGTTCAGATGGAGGGATCCTTTCAGCTAGTGTGTTACTCAGAAGACTGGCTGTGAGATGAGTATTTGCCTGCTGTTTTCTAGCTGAGCCCAGAAGAGTCAGGGAACAGTCAGATGTAAGGCAGAAACAGGTTCTATAACAAGAGAAAATAAAACCAAAACAGGATTAGCTGAAAAAACAATAAGAAAAAAGAGGAAAATTATAAATCAAGGCTGCCAGATCAGGTTTTCATCTAGTCTCCATCTTTAAGCAGGCAGATGAAAACAAAAGGTAGGAAAAAAGCACACAGTTCTGTAAGAAAAAGACCCATCTGATTTATTTCTGAATGAAATTATTCTAAAATTCATTTTATCAGTATATTGTATTGGGGCCTTGCACAAAATCACAAAATAGTTCTCTTTATATCAGTCCCATTAGCGAATTATCACAGTATTGGCCAAATCTAAACAAAAGCTTTTATTTTGCTTCCACTGTTAAGTTCCTCTTGCCATGCAGGATCAAGTGTCTTTTCAACAAATAATTCCTTTGAAAATAGAGGGTGATTTACCTTCTAGCACTTAAGTAGCTTCCTATACTACACTATCCATGTAAGACACTGTATTTTTCTCACACCTGAAACAGCTTCCCAGTTGCATACTTGACTTCTAACACTGTTATGAGTGCAGGTGACTCACCAATAAACAACCTCTAAAAGGCCAAAGCCATAAAGTCAGAATAAATCTCTTCAAAAATAAAGAATTAAGCTCTTCAAAATTTCCTGAATTTTGCATTCAACCTTAATGAGTGATCTGATCTGACAAATGAGCGTACCGAACATGACAAATTAAGTTAGAAAAATCTGAAAAAAAGTTGAAGTTTCATTGTTTAGCTAGTTATGTATTAGCCAGCAGTTCTTACAAATGTATCACATACAAATCTTTCAAAACGTTAATATTCTTTTCATGTTACATAAGAACATTCTAAGAACTGAAATGTATTAAAATTATTACTGAAATTAAAGTAGCTATTTTGATACAAAGAATGCAAAAACACCCTTAAGCAAAGTGTCTTTTTTCTGCTTCCTAGGTAATAATTTCTGTTTTCATACCCACTTCAACAATTTTCTTATGTTTATCAAGTCTGAGCTATAATTATCTTCAAGAGGTTTAAAAAAATTAATTATTAATTATTAATTTTTAATTATAGTGAATGGGATGGAAACTCATGGTAATCTATAACTCCTCTTTGTGATAGTAACAAAGGCATCCTTTGCTCTCTACCATTGATCCTACAAATGTTTAATTTGTTAACTGATGCTAAAAATGTTTTTCCTGTTTTAGCACAACGGTGGAGAGTGCAGGTTAAAACAGATGGAGATTCCCCAGAGCCACAGGAGTGTAAAAGGACCCTTGTGATTTATGGCTCAATGGGCAAAAGTGATGAGCTTCTGCTTTCTCCACAAACCCCAGGATATGTGTGCTTTCTCCCCACAGCCACTGATGAATTCATTGTAAGTCAGAAATATACAGTTCTACATAGAACTTATCATGACATTGCCCTCTTGGATATATATATGTATATAGATATGGATATGGATATAGATATATGTATATATATGTGTGTGTGTGCATAACTAGCATTATATATATACACACAGTTGATTTATCTGCTAAAAAATTATGTAATTATTTACAAAGCTGGAATGACATAAGTACAGGTCTTGGGTCATCTCCTCCTGCTCATCCTGCTCTACTACAGCCAGCACCATGGACTCTTTTGTGTAATTTATTGCATTCACCAGCTCATCTTGCATTTTCTCTGAATCCCTGGAGATTCCTGAGTTGAAGTTCACACAAAAGGCAATATACAATTATTTGTGAATGCAGAAGATGAAGGCTTGGGCAGCACTCCCAGGGGATATAAGTGGGCTTTTCTTTCCTTCATTTCCATCTTTGTAAAGTAGTATCCACTCTCCACAGGATTGTTCTGTCTCTCAGGTCAGCAGGCAGAGGATTTTTCTGGATAATCACAAATCACTGGAGAATGCATTCATGCATATCAAAGTGTGGTGAACTCTGAAGCAATAGCTTATAGGTGGCCAGTATTAAAATCAACCCTACCACCGTCCTGACCGCCCATACACCTGACACACATGCTGATGGTTTGGGAGGATTCATCTGAATAGAATCTTTTAAATCTTCAATTCTGTCCTGGCTTTCTAGGCTAGGTCATTGCAAATTCTGTTGATTGTCATGAAGTACAGCTTCTAGCCAGCAAGATGGGAGAAATAGCTTGCAATTTGAGGCAGTTTTATACAGCTCAGAAAGACTTTTCAATGGCTGCAATAAACATTCTGAAAACAATGGCAAAACTACATTTAGAAAATTATGTCAAAGCCGCATTGTAATGACCTGATCCAGGCTGAATTTTTACTTTGAATAACAAGCTAAAGCAATTTAGGAACTTTATGGGGAGTAAATGAAAAGATAAATGGTATTTCTTAAGAACAAGGAAGCAGCTGCTTATCAGAAAACACACAGGAAACACACTGAGTAACAAAACAAGCTTCCTATCCTATGCCATGAGCATAAACTGAAGAGGTCAGCAGAGGCAGAATCTATCTGTGGAGCTGGAGCACCAGCTGACTGCATTTTGGCAAGCACCATTGCATAAAGCAGCGATGCTGCTACATCCAGCATGTTGGTAATTTCCCAAGTGGCACGTATTCCTTGTTAAGGCTGCCTGATTTCAATGATTGGGTATCACACCAGGAGAAATTTGTATTTCTGTGTGTCGGTTGTAGTTGTCCCTCATAGTCTACTATCCTTGGTACACAGTACATTATGGGTTGTAGCCTTCCACCCCAGCAGCTTTCTGAATGCTTGTTCATGCTTTGGATAGACTTTGGGTTAGTAGTGCCTGTATTTTCCCCACAGCTATTTGTGTCCTTGTTTTTATTGCTTTGTATGAAGAAGTTCATTCTATTTGAGCATTATTTATTGTGCATGACGTTTTATCTCTTTGCTGCATTGCTTACAGTGCAGCTTACACAATAGCAGCTCTGGTAAAAAGGGGCATTTGGGGATTCACAGGTATCGCCATAAACACCCTCACACCTCTTCAGATGCTTGAGCTAATAAACCCAGTTTCATTTTGCTTTCCCTTTCTTTGTTCTTACTAGGACTATGCAGAAGAATGCAGAAACTTTGCTTGTGTTTTCTCACCGTAGCAGCAGGCTGGAGGCATGAACATGATATCACAATGAGGACAAGCTGTGAATTCAGCTTTCCAAAAAGCACGAATAAATGAACTTTTAACCTCCCCCCAAGATCCTGGTCCTAGACAAACATCCTTAGCAATATAGTGCAGTAAAAAGAACAACAGGTTATGTGCTATAAGCAGTTCACATAGTTTTGAAACAGTAAGCTTAATTTTGATCTCAGAGATACATTTATTGCACATTGAGGACAGAAAGGCATGTAAATTCCTGATTTTCCAGGTGTTCTCACACAAGTATATGCACAGATGTGTATCATATTCAGAATGAATATTCCATCCAAAATGTGCCCAATCAACTCCTATGAAAGAACAGGTGTAGTTTAATTGCACATAGCAAGCATAAAGAATAAATTAAAAGAGAGAAAATAGAAGCATGCTCTTAGGTACAGTTGGGTTCTAGAAGTCTCAGAAATGTGCAGTATGGTAGTTGAGCTGCTTAAAAAAATTAATTAGAACACCTAAGTTTTAAAAAATAAATTGAAAAATAGGTATGCATCAATGTTATGAAATCCGACAGGACTAGTAGCGCTGAAGGCAGCGTGGCAAGAAACCAGTGAAGAGGTGGAATTTTTTTCCTTGGTAGTCTGGCGATGATTGGAATCAACCATTGATCTCACACGGAATGAATAGATTTGTAAAGTACATAGATCTTTCTCACAGTCATCTTTGTTTCTTGGTTGCTAGCAGAGTAAGTTTGCCAGAGTGTCTCTTTGGAAGGTCCTGCTGTATTGTGCACATTCTGTTCTCCAGAGAATCTTAAAATACATGGGGCAGAGTGTGAGATTAGGATGCCCAAAATTGTTGTCCAAACACTAGCACAGGAAGTAAAAAATGAGAGATAGTGCTCTTCAAATAGGACTGTTGGTAAATACACAATAAATTCTGAATGAATTTTGTGTTAAGGATTAAAAAGGTGACAGAAAGTTTCAAATCCCATAATACAATAATCCAATTCCACAGTATAAGATGATGTTCCAAACAACAAGCAGAAGGATTTCTGGGGTTTATGACAGATGGCTGTCCAATTGAATTTTAGCAGGTTTGATGAAACTCTATTAACTGGAATAATTTATGGGCGGGGTGGGTGGGTGTGATTTGTTTGGGTTTTTTTTGGTTTTAACAGAGGAAAAAAATGAAAAGGAATTACATTTAAATATGCATCCAAACAGTAAAATTTACAAGGCTTTCTTTACCCTAGGCAAGATGTCTTTGAGAAGCCCTGTGTGAGTTAAAGAGGAAAGGATTTAAAATGTTATGAAATTTTCTAATCATCTGTATCACTTACCAGTCTCTGAGATCTTAAGAAGCCTAGTGGCCCCTCCTAATTTTAAGAGCCTCACTCTTAGAGATTCAGTCACGTAATGGAAAACATATTGTATTTTTTAGTATACGACAAATCACTCCAACTCAGCTAAGATTTCAAGTTCTGAGTATTAGAAAAAGCTATTCAGAAGAAATAAATGTGAAAAAATTAATTGGAAAATTATAATAATGAATGAGGTAAAGTATCTTCTTGCAAATATTAAATGAATTTAAAACCAGGACATTTACTAGATATATGCTTTGTGATGGATTATATGTCTGCCTCTGCTTCAAAGTTCATGTTGCATCCATTAATAGACGTTGGTGGAGGGAACAGACAATTTTGGTACCCAAGATAGAATATCATATTCCAAAGGCAAACTGCTTGTACTAAACTGCTCAGAAAAGGATTGCAGGAATGATGTAATGGCAGCGCTGGGTACAATGATGGAGCTGAACAAGAAGGCAAATGCCGGCCACAGCTGTAAGTGAAAACACAAATCCATAAAAAAAGGGGAACTATCTAATACACTCATTTAATAATAGCTGGTGTTTAATTCCATGGATCATAAACAGTATGATTATTAGTACTTGCTGGTTCAATGGCAGTCAGGGAATTAATTGAGATTGTGACTCTAGAAACAGAATGGACAATTGTGGTTTCTAAATACTCTGTCCTGTATTCTGGAATTATTTTCCTATAAATCTCCTCTGTGCATTTCCTACAAGGATTATACCCCATGTATTTATGACAACTTAGAATCCTAGTGAATTGTAAATTAGGGTAGCAGAAGACAAAGTAAAATGTGAATTACAGCTTGCCCTGTCACATAAAAATAACCAAGTTCTGTACTGTTGCAACTCCCAAACAGAGCTTCATGGAATAAATTGTTCACAGCTTTTAGAGTAGCTGTGTGATACAATCATGGGATCCCTGCATGAGAAAAAAAATCTACAGGAAATAATTTTAAAAGTCAGTAGTCTGGTTCTGAAAGAGAAGAAGCAATGACTTTGTTGTCTGTGAAAGAACTGTAGTTTAGATGGGTGAAGAACCTGTGCACTCTCCTCTCAATGAACCCAAATAATTCCTGTTAAGTTTAATCAGGTGGAATGCATATTTTGCAAGGAATTAATCCACTTAGTCCACCACAGCTAATGATACATAGCTAATTATATCCTTTGCAACATACACAGCATGAATGAAAAATCTTGATGCAAAACTCTGCCCACTCATTTCCCTTTTCCCAGAGCAGGAGTGGGGAGTGAGTCAGGGACACCTTTGATCTCTGTCAGCACGATGGCCCCGAGACAGGCAGGGCAGGCTAGGCTTAGAGAGAGGACAAGCCTGGTGCCCTCTTTCCTGGTGTATAACTACTGCTGGGTGCCTTTCTGGGTACTGTGGAGTCACAGCTCAGGAGCTGAGAGGTTCTGAGCAGCCCAGGGCTGTTACATGGGCGATGGAAAGGAGCTCTTCCCTGCTCCCTAAACAATGCCCTGAGTCATGAAATTGTGTGGGAGTGGCGCGGCAACTACTTATAACACTTACCTGAAGAAATTCACACCAGAAGGGATCTTTTAATCCATCAAGTGAAATTCCTTCCTACCAAAGGCCTCTTTTCATAAGTTCTGCATCATAAATTGGTCATAAAATTCCTGTAAAACAGTTTGGGCAGGTAGCTTTATTTTCAATTAATTATTCCTCTTCATACTCTGATATTTTACTATTTCTTATGTGCATAACAGTTACTAAAAATGATGTCCAACTCTCCTAAAATGACAAAAGCACACTTTTTTAGTACCTCTCTAATTAGAAAGAGGTAGCTGATAGTCCCCTACATGTTTGTGTTCCCTGTGCATGAACTAGCTTTAAGTGAGAGAGGTCAGCAGTGAGGGGCTGTCATGTTCAGAGCTCTGCTGAGAAGCAAAATAAATTGATCTGTTAGGTCTGTGCTCTGTCTTAGGAGTCAATCTGCTGGTGGTGTCAGAGCCAGGGCATGATTGTGTAAGGCTAATTTCAGTTTATTATTGTGATGCTATAGGGTGTACAAAGGATTTATTCCCTGGAAAGACACCAAATCTTATGTTGTGACTGATAGGCGGGGGTGGGGAAATCAGAAGTATGGGAGAAGAACAAATCCACTGGCAATATTTTTTTTGTATTAAGTATTTTGATACTTAATAAAAAAAGTTGTTGCCTTTAAAAATTACTAGTTCTCAGTTGTTTCACTTAAAATCACTTCCCATCCTGTCTTTCTTGAAGCTGTCCAGTGCATGGCTGCCACATTACTTCCTGTTGCACAGAAGACTTATCATGCAGTGGTTAATGTCATGCAAATCATTATCCACAATCAGCAACCAGTTACTGAATTTCCACATGTAGTATGGGAACAGGGCTGTGTCATCCTGCACAGTTATTTCTGTAACATAAATGATTTATTTTTTTTCAGAAATATCCCTTTCCTTTAATAAAGAATTGGCTGCAAAGTAGTTTTATGTTCTAGGCAAAGCCATTTAGCAAATGAGAATTTAGTAAAACTTCTTCACCAGTAGGGTTGCCAAGCACTGGGACAGGCTGACCAGGGCAGTGGTTGAGTAACCATCCTGGAGTTATTTAGAAACATGCTGATGTGGCACCCAGGGACATGGTTCACTGGTGGACTTGGCACTGCTGTGTGAATGGTTGGACTTGATGATCTTAAAGGTCTTTTCCAACCTAAACAATTCTGCGATTCCAGGCTCACAACAATAATCTTTAAATTAATACCTCACTTGGCTGCTGATGTTGGAATCTTTAATTGTAAGTTAATGCTCTCTTTCTCCAGTAGGGTCACAATTTTCTGTGTTACCTTTTGTCTAAATAGCCTAAATGCACAGATCTTACTAATTTTAACTGTGATTCATCCCTAAGTTATCATGCTTACAGTATGTATGCTTACAGAGTATCATGCTTACAATACTAATAAAGGAGATCATTTCACCTGTGATTATACCATCAAATAAAAAGGATTGATTCTATCATACACTTATCCCAGCCTCAAACTCAACTTTTCCTTTATATACTGTTAAGTATAGAAATTCTGCACTGGGGTTGGGGAAAATCTTTCTAAAGGAACCAGCCTTGACAGTACCCTCTTCCTCATGCTATTTGGTGCAGGTTGAGACTGGAGATCTGGGAGCTGTATACAAGATCCGAGTCAGCTGTGATCATGTGCCAGGCTTTAGGGGCTGGCATCTGAAGTCTTTTCACTTACAAGAGCTGCATAGGAAACAAGAACTGAACTTTGAGTGCAACTGCTGGCTCACTCTTAAGAGGGGGGATAAGGAGCTGGTAAAAGAATTCCCTGCAGTCACTGAGGACCAGAAAACTTTACCAGGTAAAAGCACCAAGAAGGCATGAACATGTAAATTAACTGCTTGAAAATAAATCAGTGACACAGATATATATAGTGCTTTGTCTGGATTTGATATCTTCAGTGTCTCTGTTGCACCTGTCTTCACACATGCACTGCAAGAATAATGAAATTTATATTTTAATTTTCCAGTTAAGTTGCATATTGGATTTTACAGTTGCTAAGTCTTCTGCATGATTTTAAATAAGAAAAAATGAACAAAAAATTGGACTTTTTAGGGAAATTAACACATTCAAAACCATGGAAATGAGTTGTTCTAGAGTTGCTATAGAATCTATAGAGTGGCTATAGAATATATTTTAGCTTACAAAAGCTTTAGTTGCTGATGTAAGTATCAGAAGTAAGCCTAATTGCACAGAAAGGTTGGGTGTTTTTTCCTAAGGACTACTTTTTTGCCATACTCAAAGTTCTCAGAGATGTCCTTGGAATGTGAAGACTTACAGAAGTCCTGCATTTGTTCAGAAAAGTTAGCAGTTACATGGGATAAAAGTAATTAGAGACATGACTGCTTTGTTAAAATGAAGTTCCAGAAGTTCAGATCCCTGAATACTGAAACCTATTCATGACCTTAAAAGAAAGTATAGTGTTACATTAGTTAAACGTTAATTCTGCAGAACTGTACATTAAAAATGCATTTGAAAAGTTTTGGTTATTCTTTTTGTGTGAGCCTGAATACATATGCAAGTAAATGATCATCTTCAGAAGAAAATCTGATCTGACTGTAGAAATTAATTAATGCAGGATCAATATAAAGGCAAAGACTTTATAGTTTCCTTCTTTAAGTTAATAAGTGCATTTTGTAAATTTTTATGCTTGTATGCCATGTCATGCATCCAGATGTTATGTTGCATCTGTTTCTTATTTAAATTTGCATATCCTTATTCTTAGTCTTTGACCTGTGTTAATTATTATCTATTTCAAAGATAATTCAGTTTTTAATAAGTTTTTAGTTTAGTTCCTGAATTAACTCAAATGAGTTCTTACTTTCTAGATCTTACACAATAAAACAGAGTTGGGCAGAATTTACCTAGATGCATAAGTCTAAATTGTACAAGTCCAATTTCATTCCAATTTCTAAGAAAGTGAATGGAAAGTCTTCATTGAGCTTAGCATGAAGAGATCAGATTCATAAAGAGTAACCTGATTATTTCATTCACTGGGTAGCAGATTCTTTTTGTAGCTGCAGAAATAAAAAAAACCACCTATATTCTTACTAAATATTCTGTGTTGCTGTTTTATTTTAAGTACAGCTTGTACTTAATCATCTTTAATTAAACTTTTTCTTTTCTTTTTGTACAGTCTATAAGTATGTTGTTTCTGTGCATATTGGTGACCGCTGGGGAGCAGGGACTTTTGCAAATGTTTACATCACTCTCTATGGCAAAAGAGGGGACACAGGAGTGAGGAAACTTGATACATCTCTAATGAAAGGCGAAAAATTTCAAAGAAATAAGGTAATGGCACCATACTGCAGTCTTACATGTGCAGGGGTCAGCACTGCATTAAGTATAGCTGAATGCCTGCTCAGAATACATCTGGCTAGATAGGCAAGAATTTGGAAACATTCACAGAATTTATCTTCCAGATATTCACAATAGACCAGTGCCAGTGTTATTTATTTCCTGTACAAGAACAGGATACCCACATGGGAATAAAGGCTTCACATGAGCAATACAGAGCAGATTAGTAGAGAGAACCTCTGTGATCATGCTTCTGACTTCTTCTGTTCCAAATTTAAGACAGAACAGGGAGTAAAAAATTGAACAATCAGTGAAAAATTAATTAGAGAAATTTCCATGAGACTTTTGCAGTCTATGATGTTTCTGAAATCTCAATGCCACTTTGAAATGCCAACTCAATATCAGTAAGTTTAGACAAGAAACAAAAATTCCACTTAGAAAAAGAATGCAAATAAAGCCTGTGTTTCCAGATAATCATTGTAAATAAAATTCTTTTGTGAATTAGACTTTCATTCACTGATCAAGGATATTTGAAAAAACTTATGCAAAAGTGTCCATTGTCAAGGAGAGGCTTAGATTTCTGTGAAACAATTTTATTAGATAATTCTCACAGCACTAGTTCAGGTAAAAGTGGAATCAGTAAGAAACTGAGAGAATTTCTAAATTTCATTTCTATGTATTTCTCAGAACCATGCCTATATACAGAAGGCAGCACTATACTGTCATTATTTTAATTTATGTTCATACATGGATTTATTTCCTAAAATATCTTAATTAATGAAGTTAATTATTTCTGTTCACAATCAGCTGCTGAGTTCTGACTATTATTAGAAAAAAAAGATCTTTTTTGTTATATGAAAGTACTTTCAATATTAGTAGCAGAAAATATGCTTCTCCAATATTTTATTTAAAAGGTAATAGGGACAACACATAGGACTTTGGCAACTACTGTATTCTTTTAGAGATGAGCTTGCTAATATCTTGGTTTTTTAATTGTTTTGACCTCCAGTTTAGTTAGTATCTACTACTGAATTCTTTTATTTGAATCATGGTGTTAATTATATACCTAGACATCGCTGCTCAAACTCCAGTTGTTCATAACTTTCTAACCTTTAGCAGTTACTGTGACATCCATCTGGCCCCTGGCTGGGCCTTATGCAGAATATCTTACTTTCTTACAAAAATTTAGTGGAATATACAATTTTTTTCTTTAAATTTCTCATTTTTACTTATCTTGTTTTTCTGATCCCTTTTCCAATCTGTTGCCATTTGTGTTTACTTGTCTCATGTCTCTCTGCCTTCTCCATTCTGCTTCCCTTCCCATCTCTCATCTTTTACTCTTCGCTTTCATTTTAACTTCCTCCCTTACTCTTCTCAGTTTGCTCCACAATTATTTTCATTTTGTAAGGAAAGCAAAAAAGTCAGGTTTTCTGACTACTGGAGAATAATTTTAAAGCTATCTTGGAGTAAAAACACTCTTTGGATTTTTAACTTTTGTTTAGAACTCTTAATATATATCTAGACTTGTATGATAAATTTTAGATGTCTGAAAGACAGAAATTCTATTAGAACCAAAATCTTATCATAACTGACTGACAGAAAGTGGAAGTATATAGATTTTAATGTAATATGAAATGATTGGTGCAGTGATACATTTTGACCAAACATCAAATGAAATTAAAATGCATGATTAATGATGAATATAGGATTAAATGTTAGTTCTAATCAGTGTGTGCTTCCTTAGATTCAGCAGGGAGATGCAATGTTAAACTTTACAAAGAATCAGACTTTAAAAATTTTGAGTTCTCAGATGACTTCAGGCCTGTATTTTCCCTGAAGTTCAGGTAAAAATTCTGTTTTATTAAGTATTTCCCTGTTTTGCAGGTGGATTCATTTTTGGTGGAAGCTGTTTCTCTGGGTCACTTGCAGAAAGTGGTCATAGGTCATGATGGAGAAGGCTACGGGGCAGGGATGTACCTCAAGATGGTAACAGTCAAGGAATCACAAGATTCAGACAAAGAATGGGTCTTTCCACTGTGGAACTGGCTTGATACTCATCTGGGTTTGTGTGAGACTGTTTGTGAGATTGTAACAGTTGGTAAGTTCTGCAAAGCTGACCTGCCCATTTTTATATACATGTTTGACTACAGCTTATTTAGATGTCTCTAGTATCCTTCTTTTATTGAAAATGTGAATTTTCAATTTGATCTTAGTGTTGTAGCAGAACCACATCTGGTAAGGTCAAAGTTAGTATAATTCTGTCTTCTCAATGTGCTGCATATGGAACACCTGCCTTCCAAATTAAACACAGCACATTTCAATGAGAGATAAACAGCCAAGCTTAGGATGTGCACCTCGTGGGGATAAATAGCTTAAATTTTATGCACTATTTTTTGGCCTAGAATCTCATTTGAAATCTAAAGAACAGTTTCTTCAGTGAAATGAGCCTAGTCTTTACCTGTGACAGTATTCCACAGCACAAAACAGCAGTTCTGGTATGCTTGTTTCTGCTCATTTCACACCTACTACTATGCCATGATTTGCACAAATCTAAACCTGGATGCACTTGGCAAAAGAACACTTACAGCAGGAGCTTTAGTCATTCAGAAGTAGTAAAAGATTTCTTCCTTCAATCCAGTGAAAAGAATTCAATGCAAAGAAAATGAACCACAGAACTTTGTCCAGGGGAAGTAAGACACAAGATGTCCTTGATTCAGTTGTGTGGTTTTTCTGAGTTGCAGAAAGTACATTTTCCTGAGCTGTTCCTCTTCATGAAATCATTTTCACTCTGCCTAGACTGGTTAAAACAGAACTAAAATGAAGAATAACAACAATTAATGGAGAAAAAAAGAGAGGGAGATAGTGATATTGATCTTCTGAGCATCTGGCAAATAACTTTGTGTGTTTATTATAGGTTACCTGCCAGTCTCAGACTATTAAAACACCTATTATTTTGCTAGGCAACATCTGGTGACAAGCAAAGCTCATTAGAATTGTTCATTTTGCATTAGGTGCCTGCATGCTACATATGGCTATATGCTCTTAAATGATAAATTTGCTTTAGTAACACTGATTGCTTTTTAAAGAACAGTTACTTAGACCTCTAAAAGTTGACTGAATATTCTTTTACAAATTACTTCCAAACATGACAGGGAAAATACATTGGCATCAAAAAATGCCATTGAAACTAAATTTTAAACACAGAAAGAACATTAAGCTGCTAAATTCTTCACAAAAAATATAATAAAGATATTGATGTGTTCTTCTTAGTGAGCAGTTGCTATAGATACAACATAACCTGCAAAAAGAGCTTTGTTTGTGTACTGTAAAGGTGGTCAGGCTAGATTATGCCATTATCTCATGCTGTCATCTTTCCTTTCTCTTTGATAATTTTTAAAGGTAGAAGGTCGACTCTTAGTCCTAAACTGCTTGAAATCAACATGAAGTCATCAGGTTTCTGGATAATGGATATCACTGGATCTGATTTGAGTGCTGAAGAGGAGCCAATTAGCCTTTCTTTTATCTTCTACGGCAACCTGAGTCACAAAAAGTTGCCACTTCAAGTCACAGGAAAAGCAATTCAGATCAAAGTACTTCAACCTTTCTCTGCTGCAAGAAAAGCCTACGAATCATGTAGCCAATAATCCACTTAATTCTGAGATAAATTGTTTCTTTAAACTAAGCTACCAAATTGATTTTTGAGTCCTCTGTGTAGTTTGGAACAGATCATCATTTTTGTTTGTAGGTAGCAACACATGAACAATGGTTTTTGAATGAGCAAATTCTCCCAGTGTCTCATACTGAGAATGTTTAAGTGAGTGGATTGGCCCCTTGGTGCACATCACAGTGTATAGCACTGTGGCAGGTACTGATTTACAGGCTTTGTTGATCTCACAAAAATCAGCAATTTGTAAGCATACAATATGCCATGGGATACTGTAGAGCTTAGGGGCTGATGATAGAGAAGGAAGAATCATAAATGAGATTAAATGCACAGAAGGTTAATTTTTCTCTTTTCTCTCTTGTGTAATTTATTCATCCCTGCCATCAGTTTCTCTGAACTGGTTTTTCTAATGTAGTTTCTTTTTTCCACCTGTTATTTATCCTCTGTTCTTTTTTCCTCCTAATTAATTGAATTTTATAATTGAGATAAAGAAATCATTTGTTGTATTTTGATGCTCCTCTTTTCTTTAGTGAAAGAGGAACTAAGCAGACTAGACTAACCACAAACATGATCCAAAATGAGGAGTACCCAGAGGGTTTTTCCAAGCTATTTCCAAGAATCTCTGGTAAATACAAAAAAAAAAAAAGTAGTATGAAGATGGAGGTGCCCTGTCAGAGGAAAGGTTGAAGTCAGGCCACATGGACTGCTACTATCTGGGCATACCTAAAATGAAAGAGCAGGGGAAAGAATCCAAGAAGTATTGAATAGGAAAACACAATTTCTCTTTTTTCCCTTTTTCTTCCTTACAGTGAATTAAAAATATTAATTTTAAACTGCTAATTATAATATCCAAGGCCTCCTCTGCTTTCACCTACTCAAGCAATGGTATGTCCTAGAGAAGGTGCACTATCCCCAGTAGAACTAGATTGGTTTTTTCCCTCAAGTAAGAATGCAAGATTTTAATGTACAACTTCTACGAGCATGAGTGAGGATGAAGGATCTCTTGAATGTTTCCTCAAAACTGGATTAGCTTTCTTTCAAATTTATTATTAATTGCATCATTTTTGTTGTTGTAAGAAATATTTCCAATAGTGTCCAAAGTTTTAAAAATTGGCTAAATCTTCTGTGCCTGAAAATAATCTACTGGATCTGTGTAATATTTATGTACATTGTGCCTTGTTCTGTGTACAAATTTCTGCAGCGACTGCCATTGCTTTCTCCTTAATATCAAACCTCAAGCATTCCGTCTCCTCATTCATGTTTTTAAATCAATTTTGTATTGATTAGAAATTAGTAAAATTGATTAGAAAATAGTACTAGTTTTAAATCTGCCCGAATGTTTTAACTATTGAAATTTGTTCAACTGTTGCATACAGCTGCCAACTACATTTGTTCTGGCACAATTGAAATGAGATCCATTTATCTTCTCTTTCTCCTCACACAGGATGAACTGGCAGGTATTGGCTCAATATACAAAGTCCAGGTAACTGGCCCACACAGTGAGCTAAAACAGCCATGGCACTTAGATTTACTGCATATGAAGCACACAGACACAAAGGAGGAGATGTATTTAGCTTTTGACTGCTGGTTCAACCCCAAGGAAGACAAATGTGTGGAGCTGCCAGCTCTCTATGCAGATCAGGAGCCTTTGCCTGGTAAGCTATGTCCTTTTTTGTTACTGGGGTCAGTGTCTGTCTCTGGAATAACAGTATATCTCTTTGGGGCCAAAAATACTGTGTGAAGATCTCCATAAGAATTAGATATTAAGGAATGTGATGGTTTGGCACATGCATTCACCACAAAAGAGAAATCATTGGTATGAGGATTATGAGAGATGCTCTAAGTGATGATACCAAACACAGTATTTGGCTTCTTTCACATTAGATGATGTTCCAGTTTAAACTCTTGATTATTTATTATCTCCAAATTAATGGTATGTCAGCTGAAGATGAGTACAAAATATCATCTACTGTGTGATACTATTTGTCTCATCCTATTCACAAAGAATTGTATGTGATCTAGAAACAAAGTAAAGAAGGAAAGAATTGCAGACCTCCTGCACAACAAAGATAGAATTTTTAAAACGCCACACAGTTAGCCGGCTAAGGGATATTCAAGAATTTCAATTAAACTAGTGTTTTATTGATGTCAATAAGAAATTCATAGCGCAGCAAGTGATATTCTTCAAAAATACACATGAAGTTGTATGTTTCTCTGCTGTTAGTAGTATATGTGAATGATATGATGCCAGAGATACAATTAAGTGATTTCTGCCAACCACCCCCAACCACTTCCCCTGGAACAACCAATTGTATACTGATAACTTGATCACTAGTACTTAAGGGCAAGCTTCCCATTTATTCAGCTTATTAGAATAAAGAGGATTGATGGAGAGAGTAAAGATCATATATTGAGGCTTTTAGTGCCATTTAAGAGGTTTATTGCTAGAGGCTATAGTGCAAAGAGTGTTCTGCTTAAATGGAAACTAATAGAAAAAGATGGAAGCAGCCCAGAAAAAGAAATAAAATAGACCACATGGACTTTTGCAGGCCGTTCTCTAAAGAGTTTCCTAAATATTTCATCTAACTTAAAGTTGAAACTTGAAAGAAAGTGCTAAGGCCCTTTAAATTTCTGGTTTTGTGTGGGTTTGCATAATTAAAAAAAATTGTCACCTTGCATTCATGTACTGAAAAATCTTACCATTTTAGACGTTCGCCCCATCAGATTCAAAAAACATTGGGTTTTGGATGTAATATATGTTGGATTTACAATCAAGAATATAGGAATTCCAGACCTTATTAAAAGGCCCTATTTCCCTAATTTATTTAAGAAAAAATGAGAAGGATTGTAAATATGAACAATTATTTTCTGACTTCAAACTTGTTAAATTTTTTACTGCATATAAAAAGTACAAAAATTTTAAAAAGTTGAAATTGTAGAAAACACCTCTTAAAGTCTCTATTGTGCTAAGAGCCAATTCGAGATACTGTCTGAAAGCATTATTCTGATATGTAAAGTAATTAATTATTGAGGTGTATTAGAGATATAGGGTGTTTTTCTTGGAAAATTTATGGGAAAAGATATGTGTATGCTCTCTCTCAAAAATTAAACTTTAGATGGGAGTATCTACCAACCTAGAAAGTTTCTCACAAGCCTTTTTATGGAGTCCAGTGATTTACAACTGGAAGTGTATTATCACTTTTATTCTTTGTGGCCCAAATACTACTTCAGTCTAAAATTTCTTCTTTGTTATATTTTGGTTTTATTCATATACACACACACAAGAAATTAATACAAAATAATAATTTAAAAAATTATGTATTTAGTCTCCTATCTTTAATTTACAGGGGTTTTTTTTTCCTTTTTAAATGAACATTAGGTGATTATTTTCAGTTTTGCAATGTGTTGGCTTACATCTGAAAGAGAATTTTTATAAATAGGATTGGGAAGAAACAAAGAATTAAAAGCTTGAACAGAATACCTTGTCTCAGTAGATTTTTGTTGTTTAGGTATGCTGGTCATATGGAACACAATCAGAATGCTCTCAAACTCAGCCTAAAAACTTTTACCCCATTTCCCAGCATCCCCTTTCAGTTATGACTCCTTTCATAGGGGCTACTTTGTATACTTTTATTTCCCTTAAATAGTGGGAAATGAATGGTAAATATTTGCTCTGAATACATTGAGCTTTAAATTATGCATCAATGGATTCAGCAGTTTCAGCTGAAAGCACCGACTCAGCAGAAGCACCACATACATTTCTAAGCTAAGCTCGTGGGTCTGTATATTAATGATTCAAATATTAATGGACAAAAGCAGTAAAAATGTGAGCACTGTGCTTTCTCATCTACCCTCACGGAAGTGGCCAGCCATGATCTTATTCAAACAAAATATTTTGATCTTATTCATACAAGTAGCCTTTTGACTTCAACAAACCTGCTCCCGAGGCCCAGCTACATGGAGGAGGCAACACTCTGAATGAACAATGCAGAAACTTCGTATCCTAACTCCCCTGAAAGCAAAATGCCATTGGCTAAATGCTAACCAAAGTGTCACCTGGACAGCTCATGTGCTTTCAACCATCCGGAACTCCAGAAAGATCAAGTCTGTGTAGCTGCATTGAATTTAATGCAGTTATGTTTTTTTTTACCTGGCAGCACATTTTGAACTCCATTGAAGAAAGGAATGAGATATGTCAGGGCCCCAGGCTGGGAAAACTCATGGTTTACTTTTTATCATCAAATATGAAGTGATACCATCAATTATAAGAATTTCCCCAGTCCTTAGTTTAAATTATTAAAAAAAGAAAAAAATAGTCCCAGGTGGAGTCCCTGAAGCAAATAGTGTTGCAGTGAACAAAAGCTACATTTAAGCAAACAGAATTTCTCAGACATCATCCTCATGAAGTAAAAGGCAAAGATAAATAAATACATTTCAGAAATTTATTGAAATTAGCAAACTTTCATTAGCAGACTTATGCAGCCTTTGTTATTTAATGAATCTTTTTAAATATTAATGTTACAGTCTATACCAACCCACTCTTTAAAACTGTTAATCCTGTTATGGGACCTTTTTATTCTAGAAATAGAAAGGAATAGCTATATAAGATGTCACAATATTTGAATTCAGACCTTTTGATTATAACACTCAACATGAATAGCACCAACTTGTGAAAAGAGCTGTAAGAAAATCTTAAAATAAATATCCTCAGAACACTTTTTTTCCCCTCCTTGTTTTCCTATCACCTACGCATAAAACTAAATGACAGTTTTAGCTTCTGGGTTCATTGAATCATTCTTAAACCTACTGGAACTTTCTCATAATTATAATATTTTTAAAGAATGTACAGTTTGCTTAAATAGAACATTTCTACCTTGGAAAAAATTTGATTGAAGAAGGAAAATATACTGAGAATATCAGATGTTTCCAGGATGTATATTCAGATATTCATGTATCCTATGATGTACATTAGACTGAAATACATGTTTCAGACTTGAATAATGTGCATTTCCATGCTCTCTAGCTTGTACTGTCAGCTGTGAAACTGAAAGTGCTTTGTTTCTGCTTGATTTCATGTCTGTCTAAAGCACCACTCCCCTCCTTTGCACACCAGAGTTGCCTGGGAAAGCAGATATTGTAGAGCCAGTCAAATTCCAGGGAGGGACAGGAGGCAGAGTGAGGCTGGAAGATTTTCTCCAGCATGTAAATGTCACACAGTCTAGATATTGTCTGTGTTTTACTGCTATAGTGATGAAGGCTGTGGGAGAAAGGGCTGATAATTTTTGATAGTCCAACATAGCTCAGGACTTGTAAAACCCTGGATTTTAAGGCTGCTCAGTTCTTAAAAAAAAAGTCTTAGTGTTTGTGATAAAAAAAGTTCAAGAGATAAAACAAATATTTTCAGATAAATTCTTGGTACATGTACATTGCCCATCACCTGCATCCCAAATGTGACTCTGCATTTTACAGTGGAGAAAAATGTTGTCTTTATAAAAATATTAGACAGTCGTGTTTTACAAACACGTGTTGCTACAAGAGCATAGCTTTTATTCTTAGGCTGAAGAAGTAATGCCTGTGGTGGGAAGCAGAGGAACATTTAGACCATCTAAATTTAGACTCTGAGTTCTAGTGTTTATCTCTAGAATGTGTGGGAACCCATCAGAGGTGTTTTCTATAGCACCTGCCTTCCCCTGCTGGCTGCATAAGAATCTCAGTCCTAATATAGCCACCAAAGTTAGATTCCTAAATTGACAGTACCAGCTCATAACACAAATGAGCCCAGATGAACACACTATGCAAATGATACTTACTATTATAATCTGAATTAGAGCACACTACACCAGAAGGAAAATAAAATCTATCCCACAAAAACCTTTCTTATTTTGTCCTGGGGTACTTGTTGTTAAAATGATGTAAGTAATAGTGAATATTGAGATTGTGACCTGCTTCTGTTCAAGTGTTTCCTTGTTCCTTGTTTCCATAGGAAACTCAGGGACTGAAATAGGTCATTTAAAAAGCGAACATAGGAGATTTCCATGAAGTTTCTTTGTCATGAATTCAGTCTGGTCTCATCTGCATCACTTCCCTATGTATTGTGACAAAAAGAGGCAAAGAAGCAGAAGCTTCATATAGGGGACATAGGTGTCTCTGCTAATCTCTGTACTATGACCACAGCTGAGAAACTAAGGAATGCTTTCCCTTAAACTCAAAATTCAGTTATCTGACCTGGATTTGTGGGCCATTATATCATTAATGGCAGGTTCCTTGGAGAATGATACAAAATGTCAGTAGGCTTTTCTATTTATATGTTAAAGCTGATGTTGAAAGAATTTTTAATTCATTATTTTTATTTCATATTAACATATTTTAACTTAAGAACATCATGATAGTACTATGGTCTAAGTAGTGATAAATAAAAATAGAGGCAGGGAAAATCAAAGAAATACTAGTAAATAATAGAAAGAAAAAATTAGACTTCCTGAAGAGGATGCATGTATGACTTTTTCCTTAAGAAGGATTTTCCTACCTTTTATGGAAGAGAGCCATGCACAATAGATCCTGTGCCCCAAACTTATTTTCTTTTCTGGGAGTGGTGTCTGAGCAGAGTAAATCTATGTTCTCTAGATTGCCATCCTGTTATGCAACATGAATATGTTTTGTTTATGTCTATGTCACCAGAAGTGAAGAGACCTTGTTTGGTGGTACAAGAATTGGTTTTTAATGTGGGTGTCAGGCAAGAGGACAAGTGTTTTCTCCTGCTGACTTTTTGGGTTTATTTTGTCTATTTTTTCTGAAGTTGTGGAGTATGAAATCCATTTGCACACGGGAGACTTGAAGAAGGCAGATGCCACTGGAGAGATTTATCTTCGTATACAAGGAGAAAAAAGTGACTCGGGGAAGCGATGGCTTAACTCAAAAAACAGCCTGATCACTTTTGCTAGAGGGCAGGTAAAATAATGAGGAAAAATGTAACTGAATCCATGTGTCTTTTTGTTAGAACTTATATTTTCAGAAAACATTTCATGGGTAGAATATAAAAAATATTAATGTTTTATATTGCATATAACGATTGTCTCCATAGCTAACATATTGTTTTTAAGCTTCATCACTGTTGTGCTATGGTAAAACAGTTAAGGTGATAAATTAATTCTGAATTAGACTAAACTACCTCTAAGAGTTCTGTTGATATTCCAGACTTTTAAGGCCAGGGTGGCATCACTGCTTTATTAAAATATGCCTGTTTGTTAGAAGTGATAATATTTCTTTAGGATAACTCACATTTGTAGCCCCTCCATCTAAAGTAGTCTACGAACTTCTCTTTTTAACTTTCCTGAACACTATCAGCATTCCAAGAAGGCTTTTATTTTTTTTGTTTCAAATTTTTCCACCCACTTCTTGCTCTTTGGTAAACATATTGTTGCTTTTTGAGATTAAATAGCTTTTCCTAGAAGAGTAATTCCTTGAGTAGTTGGCAAAAGAACAAAGTAACTAAAACAGACTTCAGATCAAAAGAAAATATCTCTTTTAAATCAGAAGAACATGTCTAGCTGATACTTTATGAGATCCTAGCGTTTAGAATTTCATCTAGGATTTTTGTTTGTTTGTTTGTTTTAAGGAAATCATTAAATGAAGTACCTGGAAATCTTTTAGGGAGAGTGAGAGAGAGTATTTCACTCTTGCCAGCCAGCCTAGTGCAGTTTCTTCTCTGGTGCAGAAAGCTAGAGAAATGTACTTGATATATGTTTAATTTATTCTTTCCACATACCTGTGTTTATTTTATCTGCTTTTCTTTCTATTTTTAAAGATTCTAGAAGATTCGAGGTTTTTGTATGAAAAGAAACCCAGATCTTAGTCATTATGTCCTCTGTATTTTCTTTCTCCATTGTGGAAGAGAATATGCATGCCCAATGTCATGCTCATCAAGAACTGATCAAACTGGTAGCTCAGAGTTCACAAGTTAAATCTGAAAATAATGACAGGGTAGTAGAGCTCATCTTGTTTGAAGGAGTAACGTAGGAAGTTGTACAGATTAGTGTTTTTGATGATAGTAGATAATAGTCTAGTCAGGCAGCAAGACTGCCTGCTACAATGGATAAGGTATCAGTACAGATACCTTACAGATACAGAAGAGGGACAGATTCCTTTTTCTTTTAAAAGCCCAAACTTTCCCAACCTTTAGAAAACACTTTATTTTATAAGAATGTGTTACATTTTTGCCAAGAATAAAACTTGTAGAGAAAAACCTGAACAATAGCACTTGACTTCTGTGAATACTCATTCCTGTGGAAGTACTACTCATCTGCAAATTCACAAGGATTTTTTTCTGTATAATCCAGATTCTGTGTCACTTTTTGCACAGGCTTGTTCAGACTTGCTAAAGCCTTCCTCTGAAATTCTAAAGGGCTTTTCTATATCCTGGGCTATAAGACCTTAATCTTCTTCTTATAGTAAAGATTTTGAGTAGCAACTCTTTGAGTATTCACTCTGTTGCAGTTCTCTTTACTGCAATTTATTCTCAAATGACACATGCTCTGGTCTTAGTCATTGCTATTTTTTTCTAGATTTTTTTTGACGAATTTTATTCTCACAGACATTGAAATTCTGGAACTGTGAGACTGTGGGAACAATGCAAGGGTTTTATTTTTTTTTTCAAACCCACAAACTAGTCCCCAACTCTTATATTCAAACTTGCATCTTCAAACCAACTTTCCAAGAAAACTGCTTCTGTGTTCAACAGAATAACTCATGAAGTCACATGAAATAAAAGTCTTAGCTGTAGAGAATTAGTTTTGCAGCTGGTTTCTCAAAAGATTAGATGAATCCATTCATAAGTAGTGTGTTTCCAAACCTCATTTCTTCAGGCCCAGTTAAAAAAGCCAATGAACACGCATTTTAAGCAATGTGCCAGTGCACATACTTATGTGAGCTTTCCCAGAGATTATGAAGGTGACTGTTCAAAGAAGATGAGTATATATAGGCAGGAAGGTGAATAAATTATAAAGATTTAAGTTATGGAAAAAAGGAAAGACTCCATGAAGTTTATTGATCATTCAAGTCTGTTGTATGTAGAAAAATTGACCTATTATAGAGATGATTTCAAGGAGACATCCTTATCCCAAAAGCACAGTGGTTGAAATCTTCACAGATACCATTCACTTACTTCCCATTTACATGCCTAATTCCCACTAAATTAACTTTGAATTTTAGGGAAAATGAAATTGCTCCAGATTTTCATAGTTATTAGACATCTAGTATTTATCAGTTTCATTGCAAGTTAGGTTCTGGACCAAAGTAACTTTCAACACACTAGGATTTCTTTATTTAAGTCCACGAAGGTATGGGAAATGAGAATTTTATTGCTAGTGCATGTATCTGATTTTTCCAAAAATAATTCCTACTAAATATAGAGACATTCTGAAAGTCATAATTCATAATATCAACTGGATAAGAAAAGATGAACTATAATACATAATATTTAATTATGAAGTCAAACACAATTAAATGGCATAGATGAGATAAATTTACTTCAATCAAGGTGCAAAACAATGATCCAACACGCCAGGCTAAACTGATAAATACTCAAAACCAGACCCCTATTAAGTTTAAATAAAAATATAATTTTGATTGTTTTCATATTGCAGGTGGATATTTTTAAAATCAAATCTGTATACCTTGGCAAGTTGAATCAAGTTTGTGTTGGATTTAAAAGTCTAAGAAAAGGTTGGTAATTTTTTCGGTTAATGTAAGATAATAATGATGTAGATTATTAGATTTAGGTGACCCTAGTGCTTCAGAAATGTCTGAAATTTAACACAAAAGTGTTTTTTAAGAGATTAGAAAATATGAAATTGATTTCCATTTTCTGCTGTTCATTACTTCTTTTGCATTATATATGTCAAGTATCCAGATACAGCTTGTTTTTACTAAAATCTGCAAGGGATTCCAAGGAAATGTGACAATGTAAAATCGTAAAATTATATATGGTATTGTTCTCCATTGAAGTTTCTATCTTTTTACAAGCAGAGTCAACAAAGCTTTTGTTTTTCATGAAGTGGTATGCCATCATGCTTTTGAAACTTTTGTAAATTTCTTCTTCCTGTACATTTTTAGATGATCGATAAGTCAAAAAAAGGAATTTAGGGCTATATGCTTCTGTGTAAAGATGAGAACATAAAATTGAGAACTAGATTGAGAAGCTGAGCACAGAAGAAAGGCTGTTCTGGCCTCACAGCTTCTTTCCTTCTAATCCATGCAAAATATTTTTTAGGGGATCCTGCATATGTGAGGTTGACTGGCAGATAAAAATTCTTTATTGCTGCAGCATTTTTTCTCATCCTACTGCTGACTCCAAAGCAGCTATTGTAGCTAAAAAAATTTTGCTTATTTCTTGAAAATAAATACCAACAACAAGGAGTATCATGAATTGTTATTTTATTCAATCCTTTGGCTACAATTTTGGCCCACTGTTTTTTAAAGACAACAGAATAGAGATTCTACAGGTATTTTACTCCTGCAGGATAATGTTGATAATGGAAATGATTGTTCCAGAGTATGATAACCTGAGTCTCTTGTTCTTTATTCTTTTCTAAAAAACCTCAAGATTACAAAATGACTCTGTAGGTTAAACTCGGACTCAGAAAAATGGGATGGGAGGCTATTTGCTAGATGGTGACATTAAAATGAACACAAACTTTCATTCACTTCAACAAGACTGGGAGTGTAACCAAGTGTACCAAGACCCAGAGATCTAACTCTACAAATGCCTTGTTTCCAAATAATCATGGTCTCAAATCAAGATAAAATTAGCTGAATTTTGTTCCTTATTATATAGAATGGTATCTCTCCAGAAAGAAAGCTGTGGGTTGAGTGGATTTTCCAATAGTAAATGTCATAGAAGTCTTGATCCTTTTTCCATTAGGACATTGATAATATTATTTCTTATTGGGCTTTCTTGTGTCTAAAGTCTGCATGCAGAAGCCTTTCCATACTTTGAGATGTAATAGATCATTACAGCAAATCTATCTCATTTAATTTAATTTACATGTAATTTAACAAGATCTGTGAAAACATTTACTATTTTGGAGTGTAGTGGAACAGATAGAAACACATACACCTGGCCAATATATTTTCAGAAGTTTTATTTCCTTAATAAGTCTGTCAAAAGAAAACCTTTTATTGATTTGATGAAGGTAGAAACTTATGACTGCATATACAGGATATTTTGTTGCTTAAAAGGTATAAATTAATAATGTCCTGTTTATTTTCAATCAGATGGGTGGTTTTTGGAAAAAATTCTTATAAAAGAAGTCTTCTATCCTTTTTCTACACATGTTTTTTTCCATGATGGATGGATCAATAAACGCTCCAAGGAAGATTATGTAGAAGTTGAAATTCCACTCAAAGGTAATACAAGCAGAAGTGTCCTTCATTCCCATGAATCACTCCTGCATGGCAGAGCAGTTCACGACTGGTATGAGGTTACATCACACAGTAGGAAGAACTTGGCACTGGTACCCCAATGGTGAGGGGCTGGGCCTGGACCAAGGTGAATCCTGCCTTCTGTGAACAAAGGGGAAGAAATTATGCCTGGGATGGAGAAATTGTAAATGGCAGTATTGAAAGATTCTCCTCTGGCAGGACATTTCCTCTCCTTGGAACAATACAAAGAGAAGAGGCATGGCCTCTGTGTAAGTGTGACATGGATCCATGAGGCCACTGGCCTGGTTTTCTACCCCTCCACGGGACTAACATGAGTAATGAGGGGTTTGTGGCTTTGTTGCTGAATTTCCTGTGCTACATCCGGCACTACCAGGCAATACAATCTTTTGGTTTATACTGCCTTATAACAGACATTGTTCTAAATATAGTTTTGCTTTTACTGCAGAGACATCTGTGACATCCCTTCCCATGGAAAATTTAGATGCAAAAAGTAGAGGGCGATGGCAAACATGGATGCACTGCACACAAGTACCAGAAGATGTTCCTAACATTCAAGTTGTTGCATTTGGAAGAAAAGGGAAATCCCCTGCACAGAAAGTTCAAAATCTGAGTGATACTCCCTTTTTGGTTGGTTTCTTTTCTACTTCATACAAGTCTTACCAAATAGTTTCAGTAAAATAAGAATTGTAGTCAATATATATGACTTTATGTGTGCTGGTTGTTTGTCAGAGTTAATGTTTATTCCTCTGTGTAGTAAACAAACACATCTTGGAGAACTTCTCACTTGTGGGCCAAAACATATCACTTAAGAAAAGTCTTTTGAGGAAATGCTAAATATTATGTGAAAAACCTCATTAACTTGAATTAAGTCAGGGGGAAAGAACTGACCTTGAAAATACAGAATTCAGTTGTACATTTCCTCCCTTTTGTTGTGTTGGCCTATGCTCTGGAACCATTTCCCTCAGTAAAAAATAGACATAATTTAAAATACAAATGTGAGTCTGAATTAACTTGCAATCTTAATAGGACTTCCTCATCCTAACACTAACCTCATTGATCAATATTATTACCTGTTGCATTTATCTTGTTTTGGGTTTAAAGTATGCTGAACAAACTGTTCATACAACATATATTTAAATATTATTATTTTTTTTTAACAGTTGACCACTGGTGACATTGGAGATATAACAAAAGTCTCCTTTTTGTTATGTGGTCCATCCTTGAGAAGAGGAATTAAACTCCACAAGGTATTCCAAATATAATACATGTAAACTTGCAATGATTTTCAACATAACAGAAAACAACTTTTTTTGAGACACAGATGGTCTCAGTTACCTGGTATCTACAAATGACTGCCTACAGCTTGCAGACCTCTTTGTGGGTAGCTCAACCTTGTTTGCACCTGCTGAAGTGCATATTGCTATACCTCTTCACTGGTGTGCACACCCATTATACACAGTTCATCCTGCTGATGTTAGGAAATGTTAATTCCTGCATGGAAATACTGATGGTCTCCACAGAGACCAGCCTACCTGTGGAAGCCAATTAAGATAATACTCAGTATCAGTTCTTTGCAATATGGCCACCAGTGGGCCTCAAATCTCTGATTGTAGTTTAATACGTCTTTAAGAATTCTCATAAAAGGGAATGGACTTAATGCTGCCAATCTTAAAATAGAATTAGAATTTAAAAGTATCTTTAATACTTAAACTTGAAGGTTAATTCAAGGAAAAATTGTGCCAATGAGCTCTGCCTATAGGCAAGGGCAAAAACCCCATTGTGGATTAACACTGAATTATTCTGAAGTAAAAGAATGATTTCCTGAACTGTGCCACAGAGTCCCTTAACCCTGCTATGGATTTGAAAGATCAAGGTGATTCCTTAAATGCATAAAGACTCCAGAAACTGTTCTGATGGGAAATGCTAAAGACAGCTGCATTCCAGACTAAAATGTGAATGGGCTTGTGACGCTCAAAGGAATGTTGTGTCTGAATTTATGAGCTCTTGTGGGGATAGAGGAGATGTTTATCTTACATTTTCTCCCCAAATGTGTTCTGTGTCAGTTAATATTGTACTCTCCATTTAGGCTATAAAAATAGAAAGAATAGGTAAGCAAAGCTAATTTCTCATTTCAAATATGCATCTCCACGCCATTTGATAAAGCATTCAAAAATATTTTGACACTACATTTAATATGTCCATTTTGTAATGTAAGGCTTCAGCCTCCAGACCTAGTGGCTCAAAACATGGCAGAAAATTCATAAATGTAATAGTTTGCTTTCTACTTTCTTTTCCAAAACAACTCTATGCAACTGGCTAAGTGATTTTTGTCTGTATTTTCAAATACTTCACAATTATTTAATAATTGGTATATTAGTAGCTATAAATTGTTACAATCTACAAAAAGTCAGTAGGTTGCTATGCACCTTAGTAGTTTCTTGTATGCATGTGCAACCCACAGCACAAGCCGCAATAATATCTACTGCTTTTGACATTAATATGCTTATAATATCTAATACCAATTTATTAGTCTATTTATAAATTAGTTATTCATGGAAGCATAGTCTAAAATGTAACAAGTTGGTCTCACTCTAGTAAAATTCTTACAATGCAGAAAAAAATAGAGATGTTGTATAGAAAAAGAAAAATTACAGGCAGCTGTCAGGATGCATAAGCTTACTATGAATCAGTGGTCAAACCCAGCCCCAACAAAATAAAATTACCTTCTTTGATTTCTTTTTAAGTGAAAGAAATAATATTCAGAGTTCCAGGAATTTCTCAGAAACACAGATGAAAGTGCAAAAAGGAGATGAAATCCCTACATTCGTTTTGCTACTCTGTCTTCTCTACTTTCGTGTTTACAGGGTTATTCCAAGTACCAGAATTTTTCCTGTTATCTCCTACAGTTTTCTGCAAAATTATGTAGTCAATTATATAACCTTAGCTAAAATTTATGTATTTTCTGTAAATTCTGAAGATTTATGTACTACAGAATGAGTAGCTATTTCTTGCTCAAAAAGAGCAAGATATTTCCTAAATAGATATTTCCTAAAATAGAATACAAACCCATTTTTTACATTTGTTTAGAATATAGAAACACTATATGATTTGAAGATTAAGTTCACACTTAGATGTAATCTTAGAACTGGCAAGAATTTTTCAGGTATGTTTTATTTTAAGGCCAAAGTCTGCATAAATCTACACACCTCATTTTTATGAATCCACTTTCTGCAGGCTGTCTGCCTGCATATGCAGGTAAACCTTAGTGCAATTTTATGACAAATAGGAGTTTGTGATATGTATTGATATTTGGGGTTGCACATATTGATAAAAGTTAGTGGGAAATATTTTTGTATAAGAAGTTGTTATACATTTAATATAAAAGATTTTGTTATTGCACATGAAAAAAAACCCCTATTTTTTGTAAACAATGGGCTGCAATTTTAGTGGAATTTAACGCCACCTAAATAAATCTAGATTTTTTTCAAGTAATTAATGGTTTAAGTCTGGAAATGGTTATGGCTTATTGTTTATTTTCATCTGGAAGCCTTGTGACTGATCTTGTAAATCACTGGACAGAAAGAATAAGCAGTAATGTAAAATGTTAGGTCATTGCTTTTCTAAGAACTCAAGAGCAACTTAGTCTGACGATATTTATGAGAGCGGAACTGTCAAATTCCCAATAATTTAGTTTATCTCATTCAATTATATAAATATTTATACATCTCAAAGCTTGTAGTTGAAACCTGTGTGAGGAAATCTGTACTCAGGATTTCCAAGCACTTGTATGTTTATTCTGTATGATGAACACAAAGTTTTGCTGTTGCACTGCTGTCAGTACTGGAAAGAAGCAACCACAATAATTTTGAGAATCCTCACCTAGGAATTCCAATTACTTACTGTCCTCATGAAATTAAGTTTTTGTTTCTTTTTGTTTCCTTTTGCTTTAAATGTCTTGGATATGCTATTTCTATACAAAGAGATTCTGAAGACTAAAGAAACCGTTTCCTCAACCTTGCAGTCATTGGCTATTTATGAAGTTCTATACTGCATGTAATAGTTACCACAAATGTTTCTGCATAAACTTGATAGATTTTATAACCTGACCTAGGGTAGAGTGTGTGATCTGAGTTGACCTCCTGTGAACCTGATTTACACCTTGACCCTCTCAGCAGAGATATGTGAGCTCCTAAGGCTGTGCTTCAGCTGGTTTGGATGTTCTAAGTCCACACACTTGGAATCTAATTTCTTCACTCTCCAATAAATACTTAAAGCCAAGTAGAATGAAGCTGGACCTAAGCTTGCCCATTCTATTGAAATTCATTCTTCAAACAACTTATTTCCACCGGCAGCCCTGAAAGCCACTGGACACCTAATTTCTGCCAACTGTGAAAATCCTACCTGAGATATAGCAAGACTCATTTAAAGAAATAAAAAGTAGCAAAGCAAATGTTTTTGCAAAATGGGCATATGCTACTAAGATTGATGTAACTGTATTCATTCATTTGACATTCTGAAATTGCAAACACATACAGGTCAATTTAAGCTGAATCTCTCATTGGTTCTTTACAAATGGGTCCTATACTTGTATTGATATGCAATGAAGAATACACCTATAAACATCCAGCTGCAGAATTAGCAGCTTTAAGAAGCTGGTCTAACTGTTATAGAGAATCAGATAGCTGTTATAAAGTGTGTGCAGGAGGAAAAAATGGATAAAAGGGCAGTTTCTATTGGGATGGAAACAGGAAATTAAATAATTCAAATAAATTAATTTCTTTCTCTGATTCTGCCTACAGCTTCAGCTGAAAGACCTGGACACTAAACAAGAGTTGACCTTTCACACTGAAGCCTCATGTCTGTTTGGAGAAGATGGATCTGAGACTGTGACAGAGCTTGCTGCAGTCAGGCCAGACCAGTCACCACTCAGGAGTATGCTATTGAAATAAAAAATAAATACATGAGTAAATGCATGCCCAAATACAGGATTGTAAACTGCCTAATAGGATGAACACAAGGCACAAGATTGCCAAGCATTTTATATATATTAAAAAACCACTCAAAATTACTTTTAACTATTTGTTCAATAAACTGTGGGATCAGAGAATCACAGAATCACTAGGTTGGAAGAGACCTTCAAGATCACTGAGTCCAAGCCATGCCCCAGCACCTCAACTAAACATGGCACCTAGTGTCACATCCAACCTTTTTTTAAACACATCCAGGGATAGTGACTCCACCAACTCCCCAGGCAGACCATTCCAGTATTTTATCACTCCTTCTGTAAAATCTTTTTCCTAATATACAACCTATATTTCCCTTGACCCAGCTTAAGACTATGTCCTCTGGTTCTGCCAGTTGCTGCCTGGAGAAAGAGACCTTTCAGGGAGTTGTAGAGAGTGACAAGGTCACCTCTGAGTCTCCTCTTCTCCAGGCTAAACACCCCCAGCTCCCTCAGTCGTTCCTCACAGGGTTTGTGTTCCCAGCCCCTCACCAGCCTCGTTGCCTCCTCTGGATGTGCTCAAGCCTCTCAAACTCCTTCCCAAACTGAGGGGCCAGAGCTGGACACAGCACTCAAGGTGTGGCCTCACCAGTGCCCAGTACAGGGGCAGAATGACCTCCCTGCTCCTGCTGGCCACGCTGTTCCTGATGCAGGCCAGGCTGCCCTTGGCCTTCTTGGCCCCCAGGGCACACTGCTGGCTCATGCTCAGTCAGCTCTTGATCAGCACCCCCAGGTCCCTTTCTGCCTGGGCACTGTCCAGCCACACCATCCCCAGCCTGTAATGTTGCAGGGGGTTATTGTGGCCAAAATGCAGGACTCGGTACTTGGACTTGTTCAACTTCATCCTGTTAGACTCTGCCCATTCATCCAACCATTCCAGGTCTCTCTGCAGAGCTCTCCTACCCCCCAACGGATTGGCACACACTCCCAGCTTAGTGTCATCTGCAGATTTACTAATGAAAGACTCAATCCCCTCATCCATGTTGTCAATAAAAATATAGAACAGAACTGGCCCCAGCACAGACCCCTGAGGGACACCACTGGTGACAGGCCCCAGCTGGATGCAGCACCGTTCACCATCACTTTCTGGGCCCGGCCATGCAGCCAGTTCCTAACCCAGCACAGAGTGCTCCTGTCCAAGCCATGGGCTGCCGGCTTTTCCAGGAGTGTGCTGTGGGAGACAGTGTCAAAGGCCTTGCTGAAGTCCAAATAGACAACATCTACAGCCTTTCCTGCATCCACCAGATGTGTCACCTGGTCATAAAAAGAGACCAAGTTGGTCAAACATGACCTACCCCTCCTAAACCCATGCTGGCTGGATCTGATAACGTGGCCATCCTGTAAGTGCTGTGTACAGGTATCTAGTTAAAGCACTTTCTTCTGTTTTAAAACAACTGACATGTATTGTTTTCACTAGAATAAGTACCAATTTGAAAGTCTGAAAAATGAACAAAGCCCAGTTAGTATATTTGCATGGCAGTTTTCAGAAAATGAGTGATTTACACTTAATGAGGGATTAATTCACAGATTACAAAAAGGCAGGTGTGAAGTTGTAATGGCATGAATCACAAGGAGAAAATGCAGGGTTTTTAGGTTTTCTTCAAGCCCTATTTCTACCCCTGAAGCCATATTTCATTTCATCATTGTACTTAAAATATGATATCTTCCTTTGTTCAGATTACATTTTATGAAATATGTAGAAAAGAATTCTCATTCATTACACTGTGAACAGAAGTCTTAGTTAAAATATTTAAACCTTTTTGCATGTAATATCTAACTGGAGGCTAGACTGCAAATGGAAATATATCTTAAGAGTCTGTTATAACATTTAATTCTTCACAGAACCCATTAAAAATCCTCTGTCATGCTGCCTGAAGGAATATGTACTGTATAACTCATCAGACAAAAGTCATGGCAAGCCATCCTTTGTTGTGAAGAATAATAACAATGCTTGTATAAATAGCTGAGCCATTTCTGCTGAACACATTAAATAATGTTGGCCATAATTCTCAAAATATGAGATTTAAACAGAGGTCAGTTGATCCAGAACAAAAAGTGTCTTTCATAATCTATGTCTGTGTTTTTTCCTTGGTAAAATGTTAGAGTTGGTAAATCCTAACTAAATTTAAGACCTTTAATTCCTACTAGAATTCCTGTTTTTTTTTTTTTTACAAAGCATAATAAAATCAGCCTGAGTCTTTCAGGTGATTCCAGAATCCAGAAGTTGGGTATTTTCTCCTTCTGTAATGCGAGCATGGATTCTTGCATTGATTCATAAAAGACATTTCATCCCTAATGCTGTAGTGTGTGCTGTGAGATAGCTAGCAATCCATAGGAAACTCAGAAAATTGATGTCAATTCCTATAACTTAATTCCTTGGTGTTGAAATTAATCTTGTACCTAAAATGTATTGGTTTATAATGTTTGGTAATTAAATTGCAAATAATCTCATTTGGTAATGTCTTGTGTCACTGATTTTTCATGGCAGAAGTCCTTTACTTCATCAATGTCCATACAGGAACACTTCCTGCATCAGGAACTGATGCAGATGTATTTATTACAGTATTTGGAGAGTGGGGAGATTCCTGCAAAAGGAGACTTGGGCACTCACATTTTGAAACAGGGCAGGTTAGTACTGAGTAATTTTCCTTACATGTTTTTTTTAATGTATTTAATTTTATTATTTTCTAATACCATGTTTCTTTCCAATTATGAAATACCAGCATGGAAGTTACACTCTGGTAACCTGTGTTGCTTGCTAAGTACAGGCATTTCACTTGAATTGAGATTCCAATTTAGGAATAGTTTGAATACAAATAAATCTAAAATCCACAAACTCCTGGTAAATGTTCTTAGAATCTGAAACTGCATCCAATGATACATGAAATTCCATGGCTTAATTTTCACCTATTTGTGAAGCTAGTATAGAAATATCAGGGCTACGTCCTGTGACTGCTCCTTTAATTTTTTTTTTAAATCCACCCAGATAGAGTTGAAAGAAAGATTTTAAACGTGTTAGCTACTATATGTTAATTAATCCATTTATCTGTTAAATTGCAAACAGGCAAACCTGGTTGTAGACATAATTGTCTACTCAAGATAAATCCTAGGAGAGATTTTCTGGTTAACCTTTGCTTTTTACCATATTAATGATTATATCTGCACAGCATGTTCACCCATACCCTGAACTGAGAGCACTAGATCAATTCATCCTGTACAATGAAGCAGAATCCTCTGCATGTTTTCACACTGTTTCTTATGCTCTGTCCTGCCTGAGATACCATAACTTTCCTAGGCAACCTGTTCTACTGCTTTCCTAGCCTTACACTTACATCACTAGATTTATTATGTCTTTTTGAGCTTAGAAATTTAGAAGCCAGCCACATTGTTTTGTTCCAGAGTCATACTCTTGACATTGATACTATTTCTTCCATGAATTTGTATAAATTCTTCAATAGACCTGCGATAAGTGTCCATAGTCTCCTGTGTCAATTTAGTTGCACTTGACCTTCTACCTGAGTACAACTAAACTTTCACATGCTACTTAAATCTCATTCCACATCTTTCTTTGGAAAACAGTGAAGGTTTTCTTCCACATCACTTTCTATTTGCTTCTCCCATGCTTTATAGACCTCTACCCTCTGGGCACTTGTATTGCTGCATTGTTCTTTGCAAAGAAGAATGTGTCTTTAATCTTCCTACTTAGATTTTTCTATATGTTGTTCTGACTCTTCAATAATACTTCCTTTTATCTAAGATGCCATCTTTTTTCAGAATCCTGCTGTCTTAGTCCAAACTGTGCTACAATGATATAGGAAAAGCTTTATGATGTTGATTATCCGGATAATATTATTAAAAATACAGGTTAATCCTCAGCGTTTTTGAGGGCAAATGTTTATGGACAACTGGAAGGGTTAATCAAAGGTGTAAAGGCATATGATCAGTGTCATAATCTAGAAAAGAAGTCCAAAAAGAAACAATTCACATGGCATTTCATACTGGCTGTTAATACAGAGTCAGTAATATAGCTGTTAGCTATAAAGAATTCACAGCCACTATGTTGAGCTGCAGAGTGCTGAGTGTCTTCCCAAGCAGATTCTTTGTTTTCAGGGAGCAGTTTTTATGCTGCAGACAATGAAAGTGTTCCTCAGTTTAGGTTTTTTAGGTATTTTGTGTGTTCATGTTCTTCATTGTTTGATAGGTTCCTGGGAAAGGGTGGAGCAGTGGGATGGCAAAATGTTCTGACCATACTGAGCTATTTAAGGTAATAGATATTAAAGCTGGTGGCAGAGACTGCAGAAGAACCTCATACACAGTGAATGGGTAATAAAATGGCAGATTAAATTCTTTGTAGCTAAATGAAAAGCGGTGTCTGTGAGGAGGAATAACTCTTTAAATTTGCATGCAAAATGATGGGCTCTGAAATATAGAAGTAGTAGGATATCATCTCAGTAGAAGTAAAAGAAAAGGAAAAAAGAACAAAAATGTTTAGAAACTATTAAAAAAAACCCCAAAACAAAACAAAAAAATCCAGCCACTTAAGGCAGAAAACACAGTCATGCCTCCAAAGACGTTCACTAGTGCAGATGCATAATAGATGCTGTGTTTTGTTGATTCATTTGTCTTAAAAAGTGCAAGAAGAATGTCAAGTGATATGAAATATCTTCTATACAAAGAACAGTGAAGCAAACAAGTATATTTATTCTGGAAAAGAGACGATGAGAGGAAAGGTGAGGGAGAAAAAAATATTAAATAGCATAGAGAAAATAAACATTTCTATTTCTTTTTGAAATGCAAGAGCTCAAGAGCATTCAATGTAATGTGCAGGTGGCAGATTCAAAACAAAAGGAGGTGGCTTTTTGCTCAATGTGTAATTAATACATTTTACTTTCTGGCACAAGATGTTGCAGATGGTAAAGACATATTGGTGCAAAAAGCCATTGCACATTGTCATGGAAGACGACTTTCCGCTGAGGCTGTTAAGTGCAAAGACGTAATCTCTGCTCAGGCAATCTCTGAACCACAAATTGCAAAAGGCTGAGAGACTTTATATTCTAGAAGCATCTCTGTGTATTTGCCCTGTTTTCAACTCTTCTATAGAAATCTGTTAGTGGTAGCTGTTGGCAACACTATACGTGATGGACTAGATGGTTCTGCAATTTAAAATACTACCAGTCTTCATTCCTTTTACATAGAACTACTTCAATTAAAAAGTTGGAATGGGGTTTTAGTGAGAGTTTCTAAGACTAGAAGGTGAAAGGAAGGAATATAAAGGGCAAGCTGTCTTGAGAGACAAGATTATGTCAGCAATATCCCTGAAAAATGTGGAATGGACAGGCAAAGAAAACAAAGTTAAGGAGGCTTGAGATACAAAAAAAAGGATCTCTCTTGACTGATAATGAATATAAGGAAAAGCTAGGAAGACAGAAAATTTCAACCAAGTGTAAGGAAAGAGATTAAAATGAGTTTGCAAAACAGTTTAAATAAAATCATTTTGGGTTCCATTAATTGTACATCCAGTAGTGTGTTTAATACAGTTCCAAATGTCTTTATAGTGAAGGGAAAAAGAAATGTAATGACATCAACCAAAAGTACATTATTACTAATGCTGAGGGAGTAGGTAATTTAATGTATTATTATGAGAATTCGTTGATAACAATGGGTGATTATGACCACTGTTGTCTAATGAATGTTAATTATTATCACAAAGAATGAAACTAATGATAGGTCCCTTTCTCAATTAGAGTTAGCTGTGAAGGAACATGAATGTTAGCAATACAGGAGATTTCTTCTAAGTCAAAGGTCATGTAGACTGACAGGAAAATTATATTTGGCTTAGAACTACAAAGAATAAAATTAAAAAGCAATGAGTGCTCCCGAAAAGTTATTTGCAAGATGTTCCTCCCAGCTAGATCTTATTTTGGGCTACATTTACTTACATGCAGGGGTATAACTTGCCATGGTAACTGTTTGAGGATATCGTGGATATAACAAGGTATGAATGCTGGAAGTCCTAAGGCTGTGCTAGGAATAATAACTTGGATGTTTTCTTTTTCTGATCACATTGTGGAGAATAGTCTGTCACAGACAGGAGAATGGACGAGATGACATAATTCATTCTAAAAATCATCTCTTCCTTCATTGCTTTATGGTCCTCATCCTTTTTCCTGCCTGGTGGCAAATCGGTTGGCAACAAATAAAAATTATAGCGTCTGTTTCTACTATCCATCTGGGGTTTTTTTAATGTCACCCACACACATGCCCATGTATCTACCCACCCACTTATATTATCTTGCACAGAACACATTCATTCTCTCACTCACATAATTTATTCATCCCAACATGCACTAGTGCAGCTGCCATTTAGCTTTTGTTTACTGGTAGCCGTAGCAATATTTAAACAGATGTCTATTTACATCCGAGGAGCACATCAATTCTTGCCTGTATGCGTGTACAGCCTTAGTTATAGTTTCTAATGTCAGTATCTTCCTTTGTTTGCATAGTCATCAACAGTATTTCTGTTCAGAGTTGAATAATACAATAGTTCCTATTTGAATAATAGGGTATCTTAAAATGTAAAATACTTGAAAATGTTTTAAAATAAAATGCCTTATTCAAACAGAAATTTAAATTACCAGGTCTATCCTGATTCCTGAAGAACTCACTTTGATTCCTTTATGAGGGATTAGTTGAACTTCAGTTTTCATGAGCTTTAGGTTTTTTGATCAGAGGTTTGTTTCGATCCAAAACAAGGGATGGTGTTTTGTAATAAAACCTGAACTGCAGTGATCATGATGAGGAAAAAATGTATATATTCAAGGATCCACATAGTTTCTGAACAAGTTCTCCAAATATGAGTGTCAGCCTATAACATCTTTCCTTATTCTCAGAAAAAGATACTTCAGCATTGAAAGGAATTTGTCTTTCCAAATGCAAACTTGTCAAAGATAGAAGATAAGGTCAAATATATATGGTCTAATATATATGGTAATATATATGGTCTAATCAGTTTGCTATTCTTTTTTCCTCTCTCTTCTCAGGTTTGTATCTCTGAAATGAGAGCAGTAGACCTTGGACAGTTAAGCAAAGTGCTTGTTGAGCACCATAATGTGGGTTATGGAGCTGGATGGTACCTCGACCAAGTTGTCATCCATGAATCAGGCAAGACTGAAGAACAATATGTATTTCTTTGCCAGCAATGGTTAGACAGTGGAGTTGGTGATACACAGATGGAACGAACATTGAAACTTCTTGGAAAAGTCAGGAATGGAGTGTTGACAGGAAAGATTTATGGTAAGGTCCAAAATCCTCAAAACTCTTTCCAGCTTTGGTTTTAATTGTAATCCATAATATTTTTTTTTGTTATTTTTAAGGCTAAAACCAAACTACAGAAACAGTATAGCTTGAATGTGAACTCCTTCTCCTACACCAATTTTCTCTCCAAACACTTTCCTGAGACGGTAAATGCAATTACAATGCTCAGGGAAGAAAAACTAGAGCATAAGGGAGATATTAAGTGACAGAGGCAGCGAAGGTACTATGATTTTAGTTGAGGTAAGAAAAAAAGCTGAAGCAGAAAGAAGTAGGTTGTTCCATATGGCATTCAATGCAGAGCAGAAGGCTCCTGCAACAGTGATGAAATCACAAGAGATACAAAAACTCTTTTAGCAGAATGTGATTTTCCCTTATGTTCGTATATTTGCAGAAAGCATTTGCTTTTATTTGCAGTTTTCTTTTTTACTTATATCAATGGCACAAGTTCTTGCAAACAGTTAGTTGACCTGAAGTCAATATTCTATTCAGATTGTTTAATTAACAAACTACCAAAATTCAGAAACAACTTAGACACTGAAAACATGCTTTGCCAGGATACTGTATTTTTTAGCTCTCTCATGTGTCTTTCTTGAAGAGGTGTAAAATGCTGGTTTGGGTCCATTTATGAAAACTGAATCAGAACTGATAGACCAAGCTATGTAAAGTTTAACTAATTTGAAGGTGTGAGTTTGCATTCTGTATCAGCCATTTTGTAAACCAATCTCTATTAACTTCCATGATCCTGCATATTTCCTTTTATGTTCAGAGAATTTTATACTATACATTATTGCAGATAAAACTAATAGATTATATCCTCATATTTAGTCATCTAAGGTTAGTCCACTTGTGCATATCTCGTATCATCTAACAAAACAGAAATAATGTTACTGATAGTACAGAAGAACAGAAAACCATGGAAATATTAGCATATTATGAGCAGCTAGAGTAGTGACAATTTCAGAATAAGAAATAGCTGTATCTCACCACTGCAACTATTCTAAGTCTCTATTAAGTAGATTCCATAGGTGTCCTACATAGTCCATAGAGCGAGGCAGGTGTCTCCTGAGGGAATTTCAGAGAAGCCCAAGATTGGTCAAAATCTGTCATATATTTCTTCACGGATAATATGAAGAGTGAGAGAAATCTTGCATCCTTGCTATGCACCTTGATTAATGTCTGAATATAGCTGTGTAAAAACAGTTTCCTTCCTTGGTTTCCCACACACAGACATAGTCCTCAAAAATCTGAGTACAGATTTGATAATAATTTCATGTCTATGGTTATTAATACTCAGTGCTGTATCTATTGAAAATAATTTTTGGTCTGGGTGTATAGTAAATCCAGAATTAATATGACAAGTAAGCAGAGAGCCTATGAAGAATGGGTAAATAAAAGACAAATCAGCAAAGAGCAATATACCTTAGGGGTCAGAAACTGTATGGATACAATGGAATCTACTAAATTTCAAGCTAAATCAGACTTTGTAAAAGAAGTAAAAGAAACGGTAATGGTTCTTCAACCCTTTATTCATTAAAAGAACTTTCAAAGATGAGTAACTATTCAGGAACAATCGAGTGCAGACTGAAGATCATAATCCCTAAACAAATAGAATACCTTGTCTCTCTTCTCATTAAGGAGCCATAATGTTGGCCAGGGAAGCAAAAAGCGCAGTTACCAATGGAATGAGCTTACTGGAAATCAGAAAATCTGAAACACAAATAGAACTTTGAGCTCCATTTACTCAGAGTGACAATCAGGGTAGTTGTTAGTCCAGTGGCAGGTCTAATAGCAAGGATTTAAAACAATTTTATGAAGGCTTAACAAACATAATGCCTCCATCTAAAGAATAAAAAGCATAATGTAGGTGAATACAGACCTAGTAATTGTTCACATGAAAATCTTTATAACACGCTTTTGAAGAAATGAATAGTTGAGACAATAGAAGCAAATAAGAAATGAGAAGGAATGCACCATCTTTACTAAAGATAGACTGTAAAATAAGATGATGCTACAGAAATATTTTGCAGTAAGACAAATATAATGTCATTTAATCTAAATTCTTGTATTGAATTTTATTTTCTCTATGGGAAATTATTAGGTAATCACAAGAAAGTGAAAAGTAGTAGTAAAGGAAGAATTGTAAAGAGCTGGAGAAGAGACAATGAATATGTTAATGAAATCTTTTGGGTCTACAAAGCTGGGAGTGCTATCAGATGAAAAGGTTGTGTGATAAACTTTGAGAACTGACAGGAATTGAACAGAACTCTGCCGCAAGCAGCTTGTATGCAATTAAGTGTAAACTCAACTTGCTATTGGAGCTCTCAATTCTGATACATGGTTTCATTTCAATTGTTTTGGGATTTTTTAAGAATTAGGACCTAACAAGCTAGGGGTCCAAAAACTGTATTTGATCTGTACTGCCATGTTTTGTAATGATTTCTGCTACACAAATTCATCAGCAGGAGGACTATGAGAAACACCTGGGTTTGTTACAAGATCACAGGATAATTTTGAGGCAGTACTGTGACATGGCTATGGGGTTACTGTGACCCCACAGTGTGTGTAGGCATTATTAATGAAAATCAAAGCAACTTACTGGCTTTAAAGAGAAACGGTGATATTTCATCAGCAATGCTGTGTGTAATTGTGGCCACGTCTGTCCAGAAGGACTAGATCAAGCTGGAATAGTTGTAAAGAAGATATGATGACTGAGAAAATGGCGACTCTGTTGTGGAAGTGTAATGAAAAAAGTGACAGATTCAGAATAGCTAATGAAATGCTCAAAATGGACACAGTAGTGATCTATCAAATTAATGGTGGCTTACACATCAAGAAGAGAAGAGAGTTATTTAAGCTAACAAAGTTGTCATAAAAATAAATGGGTTTCAGCAGTCCACTAATGCCTTTACAAGAGAATGAAATATTTCTGAGAAAGAAACAAAGAAAGATTAGATTTTTAGCACTGCACTCTGTGTTGGGTTGACTGTGGCTGGATGCCAGGTGCCCATCAAAGGCTACTCATCCTTCCTCTCCTCAGCTGGACAAGTGGGAAAAAAAACACAACAAAAGGTTCATGAGTCAAGATAAGGACACGGAGGGATCACTCAGCAGTTACTGCTGACTTGACCAGGGGAAATTACCTTAATATATTACAAATTAAATTAGAGCAGGATAATGAGAACTAAACCCAAATCTAAAAACACCTTTCCTCCTTCTTCCTGGGCTAAATTTTACTCCCAATTTTCTCTACCTCTTACCATGTAGTTGTGCAGCAGGACAGGAAATGAAGCTTGCAGTCAATTTATCATGTTGTCTCTATTGCTCCTTCCTCTTCCACTCCAGCATGGGATGACAAGAGACAGTCCTCCCCAAACCTCTCCAAAGTGAGGCCTTCCAATGGGCTGCAGCTCTTCCTGAACTGTTCCAGCATGGGCTCCTTCCATAGGGTGTAGTGCTTGAGGAGAAACCTGCTCCAGCACAGGCTCTCTCCTCGGGGCCATAAGGTCCTGCTGGGACTCTGCTCCACTGCAGGCTCCCACGAGGTCACATCTTCCTTTGGACATCCTCCTACTCCATCATGGGATCCCCCATGGACTGTAGATGGACCTCTGGTCCACTGTGGACTTCCATGGGGCACAGGGACACAGCTGCCTCATAATGGTCTTCACCATGGGCTGCAGGGGAGTCTCTGCTCACCCTCTTTCTGCAATGACCCGAGGACCTTCAGAATTGTTTCTCTTGCAGTTTCCTACTCTTCTCCAGTTACAATTATGCAGGTCTTTCTGCCTCACTTTCTTAAATACCTTATCCCAGAGGTGCTCTCACCATCACTGATGGCTCAGCCTTGGCCAGGGGTGGGTCTGTCTTGGAGCAAGCAGGCATTGGCTCTGCTGCACAGGGGGAGCTTCCAGTGGCTTCTCACAAAAGCCATCCCTGAATCCCCTCTTCTACCAAAATGAGGCCCTGCAAACCCAGATCACTGCTTTATACTTAACTAAGGAGAAGGAAGGAAGCTGCTTTTAAATTGAATCTTAACAAATTAATCAGAAATGATACAATTTAATTTATGTGCTATAGCTGGCCTATGGCACTGTACTATCCAGCTGACATAGTCCTGGACTGGAATCTATACATTCCAGGACTGGAATGTACAGATTCCAGCTACCTGTATATTGATAGTTTAAGGCCAAGTATTACAGTACTAAAGGGGTAAAATATCCTAGATTATGTCACATGGGATGTGATAAATTTTAATTTGACTTCCATTTTTTCACAGATATCATTGGTTTCATTTACATTTAATGTTCATAGGCATGAAAATAGATTTAGGATTATTCATGAAGTCGTAACACTGAAGTTATTTTAGATGATTTTACAGATGGCGAGTGCTAAATTTTTATGTCAACAAGTGCAGGATTTATGGCACAGATCCTCACCTGATCTAAAGCAATAAAGCTTTATTTGCATTAGTTATAGTAGGAGACAAAGACTTTCCTGTTGTGGTTACTGAACATTCTGAAGCTGAGGTAGGAAGCTGGAGTTTATGGACATAAACTCCAGGAGTGTCTGATTCCATTACTCAAAGTAAAACAACCTGTTTTACAAAATAGCTATTTGAAATTATCACATACATACTTTGTCTCAATTTGCATAAACAGAGAAAAGTCATGCTATTAAAAAAATTCTGCTCAATTCTGCAGTAGCCTAGGTGATCAAAAATTCTGATTTTCAATTTTTTAAAATTGAAACCATGACTTTGACAACCCTGAATTTTCCATATATGCTATTAACATGAATTAAAATATTAAAGCTAGCTAAATCAGTGAAATTTTCTTGGATGAAGTTTCTGATCTTCAAAACTGTCTTGTTGATTGAAATTTTAACCAAATATCTGTTCCATATAAAGTTGCCAAAATTACTTAGGAGCCTACCTGACACCAGACCGCAGTCTTTCTGAGCCTTCAGGGATCTGTCAATTCATCTCCAGTGCTTAAGTGACTAAATGTTTCAAAAAGACCTAGCAAAAATTCTCCTGGAGTCTTTCCTGAGTCCCTAAAGTAGAACAAATCTATGTGATACTATATAGGATTATTTTTAATCTCTCAGCAAAAATTATTTCTTCACAGAAGAAATGGATAAAGTTTTTTACTTTGCTGTCATGATAATTGTGGTGAGATGTGATAAAAATACTCCTTTTCAAGCACTGGACCAGTTTATCTCACCACCATATTCTTACAGTATGTATGGAGCATATTTTAACATGCTCAGTTAAGTAAATCCCAAAAAAGTTAAAATTAAAATATTCTCTGACCAAAGGCAAACCTGATAACCAGTGGTATCTTGTAAAAAATATGCTGCTGGTGACTGGTGATTTAAAATCATCAGGAGATATTTATAAGGGGCAGGGGGAGAAATCAACAGATTGTCATGGCTCTTCCCAAGTCTCTAATTTGGAACTCACAGTTTCATCTGCATGTTGCTCTGGACTGGCCCATCTCTAAAGTGTCAGCTACAGCTGTTGAAGGACTGATGTCCAGGTTTGCTTTTGACTAAATCAATAATAGGGAGTTAACCTGTCATGTGCCAGTATTTGAACTCAGTACAAAGGTGGGAATGGGTTGCTAGTCTCTCACTAACTCAGCCTCTTACAAGCTGATGTATTATTTTGGATATTCAGCAAACCTGATTTTTTTACTGCTGTTTTATTTCAACAGGAACTTGGGATATCCATGTCACAACAAGTGATATTTCTTCTAGTTCCATGAACCCTAAAATGTCCCTAACTGTATGTGGTGAAAAAGGAACTTGTACTTCAGTCACATTCCCCAAAGGATCCCTTAAAAAAGAGCAGATTTATGAGACTTCTATTGAACTAAGTAAGAAATTTAATACTATATTCAAAGTTCGCCTAGAAATTGAAGAAGCCGGAGAAGGAGAGAGTTGGCATTGCCGTGAGGTAAAAACTAAAACCTAAAGCAATTATTTATTGTGTCTCTATTATATATGTTTTTTTTTCTTTCCATATTCTATTGTTATTTCTTCCAGTTTTCAGTCCTGTCTGAGATTGTTAAATTTTTAATTTACAGAAGCTGCAACTGTTGTAGAGAGCTATCTTCAGAGACTGCTCAAAACACTAGGATAGCTATGGATAATAAAAATCTTGTGAACCTGGATGGATTTCTGGACAGCCATACATACAGATGTGCTATCATCTTTAGCACATCAGTGATGCCTTTTCAGAACTGTACTCACTGGCATACATTGCAGTATTTACATAACTCCAAATTGGCTGTTACATGTTGTAGAGTCAGTGATCCATGGCAAATAATTAAGTCAGACACTAGAAATGCATTTTGATGAAAATATCTGCCTTTTAAGTTGGCATGTGAAAAAAAGAAGTGAATAGCAAAAGTGACAATCTTTCTTCTGATATCCAGCTAAAATCTGACATCACACTGAAATTGCAGTGGCATTTCTCTATACAAAAAAATATCTTCATCTTCTTCTGCAGGAAAAATAAAAACAATTCTAAAGGAAAGATTAATCTTCTTTAAAACTGCAGACATGCTTTTTGTCCATTAATGTTTCTATTTTGTTCTCATTAAAAATTGGAGAAAAAATAATTTTCCTTTCCAATACATGGTATTACTGAGCTGACCTCTCTGACATTTAAATGTTAGGCAGGTTGTTAATTTCATCTTCATAGCCAGATGAAGTAGTCATCCAACAAATCTATCAAAATTAAGACTGCTTCTGAAGTATTGTAGGAGACAGTAAATCACAGCAAAAATTTCAGAACAGAAACCTGGCAGTTGAAAAGAGTGACATCTATTAGTCTGCTTTATTTCATTAGCTCAGAACAATTACTGAAAGCTCAGTTTAAGAGACATCAGCAAATTTATATAAATAAGGAAAAGATGCACCCTTACCTTAGGTAGGAAGAGGTAGAGAAAGAAATTATAAATTTCCCTGTTTTGGGATACATGCCAATTATGTGGGTTTTAGGGAGACATTTCTTCTTATTCCATAGTTTTGATAGCAGGAATGGCTGAATCCTTGTATAAAATAACTGGGTTGGTTTAGGAGGGTGTGGATAATACCTGTTATTAAAGATAGCTTAGCAGTGTATTTACACTGCTGGTTAGAATCACCATGGTCATTTCTGTGCTATTTTGTTTTGATTTTACAAGATTGTACCTCCAGAGAGTCTGAGATTTCTGCCTTCTATTAAAAGTAAATGCAGGTGTAGTTGGTTGAATTCCATATTTAGATTCAGACTTCATTCTTATAGCCATAACTACAAAATAATAATCCTGATTTTTTGAGGAAATGGAAATAGAAAATAATGCCTAGAACAAAATTAATTAAGGCATGCCTTATTTCTGCAGCATGTAATAGCTAATATCTTCATTCTTGCTTCTTTCTTGAAGAAATAAAACACTTCTTGAAGAAATAAAACACAGTAAATGAAATCTGAGTTTCAATAAACAGTTCAGGAATATAGATATTATTATGAAAGGAAAATTGTGCTAGCATTATTCTTCATAGTGCATTTTAAAAACTCTTTTCAGTTTGTCTGTCATAATGAAAAATACTAAAAGTCTTTTGAAGACAAAACAATGCTACCATCTCCCAATGACAATTCCTAACCAAAGCTGGTTTTGCTTACTGGCTTAAAGGTTTGGATTTTTTACTGAATTAGGTCATGAAGAATTGAAAGGAGTGAATTACAGGCGCCCTTTTTAACTCAGGGTTACTTCCTACAAAGTACTTTCAAATATGTTCTCTGGTCTGGGTTTAAATAGTTTTGAAAATGGGAATTTATCTCAGTGTAGCTGGTAGTACCATACTGTAAGATATCTCATTATTAAAACATGCTTTCTTATAGAAAGAATAAGCTTCTTAGCTCAGGATCACCATTTTCTTAGTTTATACACAGAATTTCATGGAGATTGAAATTACTATCAGACTCTATATATTCAAGTGATACATATGTACTGGTATATACATACAGATATAGATATATATACATGTCAGAAAGCATTCTTAATTTCTGTATTTCAGTTTTTTCCAGAACATTTCTTTTTCTTTCTCCTGTTACTTAGAATAAGAAAACATTCTGCACTGAAAAGTATTGTGGTATATTGACATTTCTCACAAGCTGAAATGTGCCCATATCAACACTTCTTTTTCTTCCATATGCTAGATGAATAGGTTACATAAAGGAAACTTTTTGAACAATTTAAAAAATATTTTTTTCTTCGCTGCAGTCTCTGCAGCAGTAATGTTGACAACACTTTAATTACCTTTAATTGGGAAAGATATTTATTCCTTCTCATTTGAAAGGCTGTTTTCAAAAGCATTTTAGAAAAATTTATTTCCTCTTATTTTTAAATTTTAAAATGATGTGTCATAGCTGTTTAATAGTTTGTCTTTAGGTATAGTTTGCATTAGAGCACAACAGATGCCAAAGTTATTTCTTTTTATTTCTTTGATAAGGTAAAGCTTCAACACAGAGAAACTAAAAATGTTCTAGAATTCCCATTTTGTCATAACTTTGTCGATGAAGAAGGAGGAAGAGTGACTGAGCTTCCAGTTCTCACAGCTGGGTCTCCTTTTCCATCAGGTTTGTCACAAATTGGAAACACTGGGAAAGATTTGGTCAGTGATGATGTCCAATTTTCAGAGCAGTCCAAAGGTTTTTGCAGGTATTTTCTGTTAATTTCCACCATGGCTAGGTCCAGTCCAGTGTTTAAAACCAATATCTTACACCCTAAAGCTGAGCATTGTGCGCTCAAGTCTGATTGGTATCAGTTTGTGACACATAAAAGAGCAAGCATACGGCACTGAAACTCCTAAAAGGGTTTTGAGCAGTGCTCAGAGTTTAGCTTTTTCTCAATAATATGATCTGGTTCACTCACAGTGTGAGCAAGGGAAGCACAGAAGAGATAAGTCTTGTACTGTAATTTCAGGCAAGAAGGAGCTCCATGCCCCTCTCCACCCCAAACAGATCTCTTGTTGTTTGTTTCCTAGAATTGCAGATTTTCTTTTCCTGTGACCCAGCAGTTGTATGTCATCCAATTCCATCAGAGTTGTGCCTTGGTCCCCTCAAGACTGAATATGTTTAGTTTGTTCTGTGTTTTTTATGAGGTTCTATAACTATAGTTAGAGAAGAATAGAAGAACTCTTATCCTAAATGAATATTCTACCATGATAATATCATAGGCTACTCCAGAAGTAAAGGGTTTAGATCAAGTACAGAAGTAATCTGTATATTCTTGCCTCTTTTTCTGTGCTTTTAAAGTTAGGATCAAACAAAACACTTAGACAGAAACTTCTTAAATGTGAATTTGAGAAAGTATTGATGGGAAATTCATTTAACAAATTCTTTGCTTTTAAATACTTTTTAGATTTATTTCTTTATGGAAGAACACAGATATTTAAATCTTTAAAAATGCTGCTGCTTTTTCTGAGGAGCATTTAATGTGAGGAAAGATACTTTTTCTTTACCTCTTCCCACATTTTTTTCTCCTTTTGAATTGAATGTTTTGGGGATGTGACCTCTTTTTGGTTTTAGGAACCACATCACCACAGTGTTACGCATTTCTCTGGGAGTGCAAGCAGGTATTTCACATAAGCAGCCTTTCAAGGAGTGCTCAGCTGGGGGGTTGAGTGTTCACACTGCATGTTCTCTCACGTGTCATCTCCTCTCCTGAGGCCACTAACTCCAACTGGTGCAGTGCAGAGTGAACAGCCACCGACTGGACCATGATGCAGAGGAAATACAGAAGTTGCTTCTTCCTGACAGAATCCAGCTTCATTTGAACTCATGAGTCTCTGAACACAGATACACTTGTTCAGTGATTTAGTATCATCCATGGCCTAGAAAGTTTTTCATTGGAGTGTCATGTATTTAAATGCATGCAAGAGGTGATAAGAGTATTATTTACATGCTTTTATACCAACCTGTTATGTGCTTATTTTTTTCCTCTTCTGTCTGTGTTTCAGGCCCACTCAAATTATTTAGCTTATTATTCTTCATAATAGTTACTCTTAAATTTTAATTACAATGCATCTATGTGCTTTTACAAGCATTACACTCTATTTTGGTCCTCTGATCACTCCAGATAGGATGAAAAATGAAAATATAATAGAAGTAATTGATTAAATAACATATATTTTAACTGGTTTAGGTTTGGTAAACCTTTGCTCTCTTTTTCCCCACAGTGAAAATCTATGTTCTCTACATCACCACGGGAGCTATCCCTGGGTCAGGAACAGATGCAGATGTGTACATCATGCTGCAAGGCTCCTTGGGAGATACTGGCAGAAGAAAGTTAATTAGGAAAGGAGATGAAAATTTCACTAAAGGAAAGGTATGCGTATGAGTTCTGCATGATATTTTTCACTTTTAGAATCCAGTCCAATCACTGTGGATTTAGTAGGAATAGGGAAGTCTACAAATTCAGTTTACAACACTCTGTGATTAAGTGTTTGTCTATCAATATCTCAGCCTTATGTGGGAAATACCAATCCTTGAGCAGCTGATGCTAGCAACACTGACAGCTGATAAAGTGGCTATATCAAGTGCTTTCATATTCAATTTTACATCCAAATTTTAATACCTCTTTTCTGCCCATGCCACTCTTCAGACTATGGCACCTTTCCCTGATTTCTACTGTCTACTCCTCTGTCTGGCTCTTGGTCTCTCTCCAAACTGTCAGACACTACTGTCCATAGTTTTCTTTGGTGTTCCAGGAGGGTCCCTCATTCACTGTGCAGGAGTGAGTCATGTACCTCATAGACATAGACCAGTCAAAGTCCAATATTGCTGCCAGAGATGCTTTTCCTTGATGCATTGTCAGTATAAGCAGAAATTGGAGGGAGTTTAGGTACTCAATGTGCTGCAGAAACATGGGTAGATTTACAGAAAAATGCATGGTTTTGACATGAAACCTTGTGCCTGTCAGAAACTCTGGACAGAGGGAGTGAAATTTTCAGCTGAAAAGATCACAAGATATTTTGAACATGGAATAAATAAATTGCTTGTACTTACTCTGGCTCTTTTTTGGAAACAAATTTGAGGACTGAAACAATTTTATAAGCATTCCAAAACAAATATCTGTTACAGAAGACTTGGGTTGGAGTAGTTGAAGTTTAGAAAAAAATCCACCAGTGTCTTGCAACAATTAAGTTATTTTAATCTGTTGGTGTTGGCTGCCAAGAAAATGAGAGTTTCTTCAAGGATGCAAGCTTCCAAATCAGCCTAGACCGATAGCCAAAGCAGACATGGTATATGTGATTAGGAGGGGCTCAGCTCCTAACTACCCCTAGCCTCACCAATTCAGTGTCAATTGAAAGTGGATATTATATTTCTGGATTTCAGCTACTTGAAATACTTATTCATAAGAAAAGTTGGAGAGTTTAAATCTTTGTTATTTAAGGGATTAAATACTGTGGGTGAGGCTACTCAGTTTTGATAAAGTCACATTTGTCTTCCTTAATGCTGGAGTTCAGGTCAAGGTTTACTGATAAGCTTATTTAACTGAATTTTAGAGCTGCAGTCCTTTTGTCCTCATGAAGTAAAGTTAGTTTAATATAAGTTTTACTAGATTCCTCCTTAAGTTATTGTCCCACAAGTGAGTAGTCTGATTTCTAGACTGGTAGTTTTTAATGAAGAGGGACCAAGGATGTGCATCTAGAAATGTTGACTAAGAAAGCAGAAGTGAGCCACAAAGATTTATAACCTTGAAGGGTAGTTTTATAGTATTAGCATCTACTTCAGTATAGCTCAGAATTTTTCTCTCTTACAGAGTAAGATGCAGATCTGGCATGTAGCCATCTCTTTATTATTTATTTGACATTTTATAGGAGCAGTGTGTGAATATAACACAGTAGCCTTGTATTTCTAAATGTAGATATCAGCACAGGAGGATTTTAGGGCTCTAAGAAGAAATTGCTTGTATATAAGTAATAGAGAAACATATAAAAGTCTTGATTCACTCATTATTCAGTGAAAATAAAGGTATTTGGTTAATTAAAAAGTAAAAAATTATTCTGCAAGAAAGGCTCATGCCTATGCAGCAGTATTTCTTCATTATATGTTTTGGAAGTTTCCCAATGTTTTCTTCCCTTTAAAAGTAATCTCCAAAAAGACCCTCAAGTGTAGAATGTCTCTTTCTATACCAGCCCAATCACATATTGAGCCAAGCACCCCTGCAGTTAGAGATTCTGCACTTGGTGGTTTAGGGGATTTGGAGTATAACAGGCAGAATTTGCATTCGGAATCTTAACAGTTGTTCTGACATTTTAAAATGTGCTTTTCCTTGCAATAATTTTTCCCCTGACTATACTGTAACAGCTAGTGAACTGGAACAGTGTTTCTGTTCAAAATCATATCAAAATATGGTGTTAGTCTCCCAGAATGTCAGGGCTGTTACAAGCAACAGTTTAGCTATGCAGAAGTACATAGAAATGTTTAAATATTCAGCAAAATTTGCAGTGGATTGGAGATATTCTTCTCTCATTTAACATGTTTTTTATTTTCACGAGCCAAGTTACATGATAGTAAAAGAGTGAATTATCATCTTGTATCTGAAAAGTTTCTTTGTGCCTTTCCAAAGTCCTTACCCCTGTGAAACCATCAGAGAACTTGAAGGTAAAGTAATGTGCATGCTATTATTAATTCACCGGTAAGGGCCTGCAGCTCACCCCTGAGAGGGCAGCGCTGCCACCGTAGAGAGCTGAGATTCTGGTGATCTGCTCATACTAATGAGTGTGAGGACTTGTCCTGCAAGATCCATAGTCTTTCAAATTGCTGTGACATTGATGCCTTGTTTGATGTTCTCCTAAAAGCTGTGAGGACAGACAACGCAATCTCAGCACACATCTTCCAGCAGTTCAGCTTTCCTGAAATCCTAACCATATTTATTCATGATTCATGAGTCAGTTTAAGCCTGATTGATGTTACCTGTTTATGAGCATTTTCTTGAACCAAGTATACTCAGTTCAGACATCCTGTGAAAACCAGGGCCCAGTTGTGTAAAATCCTTACAGTATCTCCATGTTGCTTCTGACATGCAATGTTTTTTCCGCAAATGTCATTCTTGATGCTTCTTTATATGGCCTTTGATAGACTTGCTGTATGCTCTGTCATATGGCTGTGAGTTATCCAAAAATTACCTCTTTGAGAATGTGGGATTTTTTCAGATCAGTTCCATCAATACCAGTAAAGTACACTGAATATATTATGACTGATATTTAAGTATTTTAATCTAGGTTTTATGAAATTGGCCAGTATTTTAAGTATTCTACTTTATAGAAGCACTAAATTCTCTGACAATTTTTGCTTCATTCTATTAGTATTTGAAAAGATATATTCTTTATCCTGCCCTATATTTAGACATCAACTGCTCAGGTTGGTGCCATGGTAACTGCAGCACATACAAAAATTTTCAGTGAGAGGTGACTGTTGGTGCTCAGTTTCAGTACTCACAGATTAAGCACTGACAATTAAAAAAAAAAAAAAAACTTCAGCAAAAAGTCCATGTATGCCAGGATATACAAAGAGTCAGAATGTGGGGCAGTGTCCTGAGGTCATAAGTAGGAAGCCAGGGAAGTCCACATCCCACCACACTGACAGTACTGCTATTTTGTGACTGCAGATAAACCCTCTCTTATGGAAAGCATGCCTGACATAATGATTAAATAGGTGCCAAATGTCATTGATCCAAATGTATTAATCACAGTGGCAGGCTGTTGGCCAAGTTACTGTTATACAGGAATGAACACTAAATCAATCTGGTCATCACAGAATCACAGAATTGTTTAGGTTGGAAGAGACCTTTAAGATCAAGTGCAGCCGTTGACCCAGCATTGCCAAGTCCACCACTGAACCATGTCCCTGGCTACATGTTTCCCTGGGCAGCCTGTTCCAATTCTTGACAACAATTTCATTGAAGAAATTTTTTCATATAGCCATTCTAAACCTTCCCTGGTGCAACTCAAAGTCATTTCCTCTTGTGCTGTGGCTTGTTATCTGGGAGAAGAGACCAACCCCAATCTGGTTGCAACCAATCTTCCCCCCCCGAGCCTCCCTCCTTTCAAGCAGTTACAGAAAGCAATCAGGTCTCCCTGAGCCTCCTTTTCTCCAGGCTAAATACCCCCAGTTCTATCAGCTGTTCCTCTTAGGATTTCTGCTCCAGACCCTTCACCAGTTTCGTTGCCATTCTCTGGACACACTCCAGCACCTCAATGTCTTTCTTGTAGAGAAGGGCCCAAAACTGAACACAGAATTCAAGGTGTGGCCTCATCAGTGCAGAGTACAGGGGGACAATCATTGCCCTGGTCCTGCTGGCCACCCTTTGTCTGATACATGCCAGAATGCCTTTGACTGCCTCGCCCACCTGGGCACACACTGGCTCATGTTCAGCAGCTGTCAACCAGAACCTCCAGGTCCTTTTCCACCTGGCAGTTTTCCAGCCACTCTTGCCCAGTCCTGTAGCATTGCATGGGGTTTTGAGACCCAAGTGAAAGACCTGGCACTTGGTCTAGCTGTACTTCATGCAGTTGGCCTTGGCCCTTGGATCCAGCCCATCCAGATCCCTTTGCAGAGCCTTTCTGCCCTCCAGCAGATCAACACTCTCACCCAACTTGGTGGTGTCTGCGAACTGACTGAGGGTGCCCTTGATCCCCTCCTCCAAATTATCAATAAAGATATTAAACAGGATGTCCAGGTTTAGAGTAAATTTGGGGAAGAATCCCCCAAAGGAGCTCCGGTGGGAAAAGCAGATCCAATCGGCCCCTCCCCCCAACTGGTCTGGGAGGGAAAAAATACCTCCTTGGAGAAAGGTGGAAAAAACTGTTTATTAAACAATAAAACCAACACAATATCAAACAATGAGACCCCTTGCCACTCTAAAAGAGATGACAAACTGAGAAAACCCCGGGTTCAAGCAGCAGCTCACTCAGTCTCTGATCAGTCCCCCTGGTGCTGGAATTGTCGCAGGCCAGGCCTGGCCTGGTGCGCCACAGCTGCAGCTGCCGGTGCTCTCCTGGGTGTTCAGTCCAGAGCAGTTTCAAGAGGTCCAAAGAAAAAGGAAAAAAAAAAAGTCCAGGGAACTTCTTTGCCTCAGCTAGCTAAAAACTAGCTAAAAAGCAAAAGAAGAGCTCTGTCCCGCTGTCTGTTCATCCACAGACAACATAGCCCAGGAGCAGGAATGTGGAGAAGTGCAGTGTCTGAAAACAAACTGCTGCTTCTTCTCTCCCCCCCTTCACTCTCTGGAACACTCTTAAAGGTACAAAACTTCAACATAAACAGAATGAGACAATTGGGGATAAAAGCATCATATAGTCAACCCACGACACAGGACTGGAG